CTCAGTATTGCGAATAAATCCCATTAAAACAACAACATAGAAGACTTTTTTAAAGACCAAATAATTTCCCTTTTTTTGTATAATTTTGTTTTAATATCAACTACACAACATTAACAACGGCTACCTCAGCAAACTGACAACATGAACTGCAGTGTGTGTGTGTTGAAGTTGTTTTAAAGGATTTGTTGACAGTTTGAACAATATAGAATTTCAGCAGCTTTTTCATTTTTGGCTAATGTATTAAAGAAAAGTTATACTGAGATTGAGTTAAGATTGTATCTATAAAACATGACTAAAAAGAGGATAATAAAACCAGACTGATCCAGTGTAGTGCCACTAGGTGGTGCCGGAGAGGAAATGAGATCCATGTTGGAGAGTGTGAATCATTTGATGTGGATCACTCAGATATTTATTTGGAAATGTCACTGAGTTTTGGGAAATGGTACAAATATTAGAAAATAAGTTCCCTATGTGTTGTTTATTACTCTATTTTTCCCAAGAGAGTGTAATAAATAATGTTAATAGCAAGTAAAACTAGCTACTGTAGCACAAGGAACCAATGGCTGATAACTGTTTAAGAAGTCATCTTAATGTAAGCTGTCACACATTTTGAAGAATAGTGAATTAAAGAATAATAGAATAAAATATAATAGCATTTTCTTATTTTTGTTGCTTCTCCTCAGAGGCAAGACCTGTGAGCCATTCAAACAAAAATGTATTGTTTAATTTGAAGGCTTTTTAGAGCTTTAAGAGGTCAAGTTATGACATATTGGCATGTGGCGCAGTGGATAGAGCCTTGGTGTTGGGATCAGGGGGTCACAGGTTCAAACCCCACTGCAGTCAGCATGTCGTTGTGTCCCTGAGACACTTCACCCCAAATTGCTCCTGTGGGGATTGCCCACAGTATTGAGTATGTAAGTCGCTTTGGATAAAAGCGTCTAACAAGTAACATGTAATGTAATGTAATATTTCACAAGAAAAAAGCTATCAATTTAAGAGATTTTCCTCAACTTTTTCTTTCTTTAGTAATCTGGTGACCCTTTAATTTGTTATATAGACCCAAAAAAATCATATAAACTACAAAACTGCACAAGGTTCACGGGACAAACAGCTGACATACCTTCAGTGCCTTAAACCGCTCCGACTGCTTTGTAAACTCCACTTCACTGGATGCTCCATTTTCCAAAACGTCCTGCAAGAAAAGAGAATAAAAACAGAAAAATATAAGATATTTGTTTAAGTGTGATTAGGGAGATATTAAAGGGATATCTTTCTACTGACTTTGATGACTCTGAGTGAATGTCCTCCCAGACAGGGCAGCCCTCTGAGCTGCAGCAGGTCTGTCACCGGGCTGTGGAGAGCCTTTAGCACGGCGGCGGCTCGTCGGAACGCAACGCCTCGTCCGTCCTCGTCACTGAGCTCAGCGTTTTCAGCCAGGAGAGACAGCGCATCCTGAGACAGAAAATACATCCTCAATCTCTCAGTTTTCTGTTTTCATTTAGCTAACAACAGGTGTAATATAAGTGTTGGCTGGGGGACATTACAGTGAAGACGGTGTTGTGGTTCTCCAGAGTGGTTCTTCTCTGACAGGCGTAGCTCGGTACGATACTCTCCACCTCCTTCGATTCATCAACCTGTTGCTCCTGTTAAAGACAGAGGGATTCAACAGCTGCACAAATACAACCAAAAACCAAGAGCTGGATTCATCAGAGATCTTTTATTAAAAAAATCCAAATTCTAGTATTGTTTATTTCTACTCTTTAATTTCTACTATGTGCAATGCCTCGTTTGTTGTTTTTTATGCTGCTGCAACACAGAAATGTCCCAATTTGGGATCAATAAAGTACCTCTTATCTTATCTTTACTTTTACTTCAATTCATAACAAATACTTAAATTAATATGGGTAGGATAGAAAATGCAATTGTATTTTTATACATGTTAAATGCATAGTTTGTTACGCCATCTTTTATGAGCTGAAAATGTTTGGGAAGCCATGCGCCACAGGAATATTTGAGTGAAATTCTTGACTGACATCTGATAGTAAATATCTGGAGCTGAGTAAAGAAAAAGGCACCTGTAGTTTATGTCTGTCCAGGATTTCAACAGGATGTCCCGCCTTCATGCTCTCTGTGTACCAGCTGATGTCCAGAAGGAGAGCCGGTGTCCTGCACTGACCTCCAATCTGTGAGTCCAGCCACGTCCTGACCTCATCTCCAGAGTTATTCTCAGAAATCACATGTGTGACGCTCTCACTGTGAATACACAATATTCAACATGTGATTCAAAGACACTACTGTACCCACAGGCATGGCAGCACACTCAATTACTCAATTCAATAAATGATTAGCTTTTTGGAAAGTCCGGGGAATGTAGATTAAAATACACGTTTACGTACAAGCTTTTGAACAATTAATTGTCGCTGATCATCAATGTATGAGAGTGTGTAAACTGACTTAAAAGTAAAAGCACTCAATGCAGACAAATCACCCCTGGATTCATAAATGGATTATGAAAAACTAAAAAGTAATACAAAATCCTTTACAAAATCTTCTTGTAAAGCTGAACAAGTTGAATAAAGGCAATCTCAATAGTTGAAACTTTATTTTCTGTCAATCAACTTAATCAATCAAATTGATTAATCAGTAACACTTCTCAAATATAAGCTGTAAGAAATCAATAAAAATCTTGATTTGGTATAAAAATGTAAGCTGTCAACTAGAAGTAGAAATAAGCTTAAAAATGTAAACAGTCAAGTGAAGAACTTTAATTTTATTCTCACAGCTATTAAAGAAAAAGTGCTCTTAGTTACTGTTTTTCTCAATTGTACTATACACTTTATTTATTTTATCTTACCTGAACAACTCCTCCACCTGAAATCCTTTCTTTTGGCCGAGCTGAGAGAGAAATGCTCTTCGACTGGCTCCCATTTTTCTTTCCAACAGGAATAAAACCACCTGAGGGAATTTGGCAGGTACTCCACTTCCAGTATTCCCAGTTTTCCCAGCACCTAAGGAGACTTTCCTTCTCTTCAACGGCACCATGTTTCACTTTATGGTTAAATAAGATGTTAAGGCGTCTAACGTAAATGGGTTCATTCTCTGGGGGTAGGGTAGAGGGAAAGAAAGCCGCAGAAAAAAGAAATAGCAGCAAAATTCTGTGCAGCAGTGCAACCGGATGCAGCTGTGTTGATGCACCGGCTGCACATGCGCACTACCAAAATAGTTCCGAGTGGAAACTGCGCTGAACACTGAAACGGCCCAGTATGGAAGACAGCTTTCAGTTATTCAAATTAATATTATTAAAATAAACATAAATACTCACGGTAAGTAACATGGGTAACATTTTTCTCCTTTTTTGTATTACTGTTTGGTGTATAATGCAGGATTGCTGCTTAATTTCCTATGTTGTGTACCTAAAACATGAACACTCACTAACACCACTTATAATATTAAATAAGTGAATTTATAAAATTGGAAATATATTTTGTAAAATGATAAAGAATTTATCCTATTCTATTGTTTAATCCAATAAATTAAGTGATTTAAAAAATACCTAAAATGTGTACTATAAATAGTACTTTCCATCCTTTAATGTGGCTGAAAGTTGGTGAATAGAGCTGGTTCTTCCACTTTAATCCCAGTCACTAGTAATAACAGCAGAAAGCACTTTCAGCTGTTTGCATAGTTCATTGTTTGAAGGTACAGGTTGACAGTAACTACTGACTGACTACTACCTGCCTTCACTTCACAGTGCCATCAACAGCTGCAGGAAAAAAGATTGTTCAAAACATGATGTACGCTTAATTTATTCTCACTTTCAAAGCATTACTGTACAGCCTCAAAGAGCTGCTATGCATGACTTTAGATCTAAGTGTCGTTTACCATAACAGCTCCCCCTCAATGTCAGTAAAGGGAAGTGCTCACAGATTTGGATGATAACATATGTCGAGGTTTATCCTTATGATCAGCATATGTCTTTTTTTGTGGGAGATAATGACCTAAAAAGAACATATGTGCTCCACACAGAAAATGGGTTGTATGAATGTTTAAGCACCCAGTGTTCTCGAACCAGGAGTCAATGGAATATTATAACTTCTTCTGCATGCCGTGTCTACATTGGATTTGCATAGTTTATTCAATGCAAATTACATATTTTCATAGACTACAAACATAGTATACAGAGTTTCCTGTTTTAAAACTCTTAAAATAAAAGAATATAATTATGTGAAACCCTGAAATAAACAGTTTGATCTATAATAACTCTCAGGTGGTTTCAAGGGGTTAAGTTAAGAGGAATCACATGGAGATCTATTGTTGAATTGGTTTCAGATCCTCTTTTGTGTAAAATAAGGTTTTATTTTCTTGAAAAGAAAACTAAAGCAATAGACTATAAAATATATGTGTCAGATTGTTATATCGGCTTGAATATTGATATTAGACAGATTATATTATATATCTTTGAAGTTATTTATGTGCAGTCACCATTACATTAAAAAATAAAAAACATTTCATAGTAACATATAATATTGCACACACAATATTATATTGTGCATTTAGATGCTACATTACATATTTATATAATGAAATGTAATACTATAAAAATGAACTAGTTAGTATATTTGTATTAAGAGCTTACTTAATTAAGTTTAATAAAGTTGAATTTAATACATTTGGAAATATTTTAATAAATATGTTTTCTATATAAGAAGATACAATATCATATAATGCGATATAATATTATTATGATTAACAACGTTTTAAAAACAATTTTAATAATAAATACAACGTGTAAATTAAACATCTATGTATGTCATTAAATGGGATTATTGTGCCGAATCCGATAGTAATAAAGCATGCCTCAGTTAGTAAAAAGCAAAAGTTAATAAGGAAGTTTGTAGTTTATAAGTAGTATAAATTCCATGCTGTACAATGTGTTCTCGGTCTTTACTCCTCCCCTTCTAAGTGTGATCATATGACCACCAAGAACTCGACTCCACTTCCTCAAACTGCCAGCCTGCACACACTCAGCCAACAACACACACACCCTCCCCCTGACCAGGAAACGAAACCGAACTCCAGCTCAACACCGGCGTGTGTGAGTGTGTGTAGCCAAGGCCCGGTGCTGCTGTGGCCTAATGGCAGCTTTGAGGAGCGGACCAGGAGCGACAGGACCCCGGCGGAGAGGACTCCCTGCAGCGGCCACCCTCCTCACGGTGCTGCTCACCTGCTGCGTCAGGTGCTCTGCACAGACCGACAAACCGAGCAACATCATCCTCATCCTCGCCGACGATCAGGATGTTCATCTGGGGGGGATGGTGAGTTGACTCGCTTAAAAAAATCACATGTTTTCATAACTTGATCATAAAGAAACGTTATAGTAACTTCTGATGCAAGCTCCTACCAATAAATACACACATGTGAATGAGTTTATAGTAAGCTAGCATTGAATTTGGAGTCATCTTATCATACTTTATGGTGTTTTTATTATCGCCTAATTGTTCGTATAATTCAGATACAGTCCTTTGAAGCTTGGTTTTGAAAGTCTACTGCCCTCTCATCTGCTGTGCTGTCAGCTGTAATGCAGGAAGCTCTTTTGACTGCTGAAAGTCCATTATTAACATAGTTAAGAGACATAAGATTAATGATAACAATTGCAAGGTAGTACACAACTTGTTGGATACACACAAAGAATATAAGCACCCCAAACAGAGCAGGGACTAGAGCTACAAACTTGCAAATACAATAACAAGTACATTTTAAACTAAAAGGTAACTGGAGACCATGTTGTGATGGTCAGCAGCAATGCCAAAATGGGGCCAGGGTTGTAAAGGAGGGGGGGCCCTCTACCTTCCTACCCTCCTACCCTTTTATTTGTGGCGCCCTTGCACGAACAACTCCCATCTTCAAACTTGGCCTTCATTTTAATCTCAACTTGACATCTGTAGAGTTTGATGAGTGCATCTTGCAAGGTTTTGACACTAACTCCGTGACATAATCATTCCATGAACAGACAGACAGAATATAAACACCTCTTAAAGTACTCAAAACTGCTTCTGTGGTAGCAGTTGATTTCGGAGGAGCATGATGGCCATGATGAAACACATGCAGACTCACAAGGTGAAACACTGCCACCCCCACACTGTTGCGCAGTGAGTAGACATGCTAGCTGCTCTGTGCTATGCTAGCTGCTCTGTGCTACTCTTCTTAAAGTGGCAATAGATCACTTTTCAACTCCTCCCACCTCTAGCGTTTCTAAATGGGATTATGTTTGGCGCCGCTGTGCAAAAACCTAATCCCTTTTCTCAGAGCCCACAGAACCACAGTTCACAGTTCTTCTACCAACTCCATGTGGTCTCTTCTCTTGCATCGTTTTCAATTAACGGACACTGCCACTTAGCTTTTGGCAAATTAATAATGAATAATGTTGATGATGATATCATATTGTGCCTTTTTAGGGACTTTCCAAGTGCTAGCTACTTTCATTGAAAGAGTTGGCGAGAATGCACAGGAAACACTGCATTTGGTTTTCCGATGGCTGAAAATGTATAGATCACGCCTATTAGGGCTGAAACGATCGCTAAATTATGATTTGGGTCACTTTTTCAAGCATAAATGACAATACATTTTCTGATTTCAGCTGCTAACTTGTGAGGATTTTGCCGCCTTTATTTTTCCTATATGATTCATTTTGTGTTCTGGGAAACTGTGATTGGCATTTTTCTCGATTAGAATTATCACCAACTAACTGTATTACTTTTAGATCAAATGTATGCTCTTATGAAATGGTAGGAGTTATGTCACTTGTCTAATTCTGAATCTGATTTGTTTCTGTTCTGCAGACCCCCATGAAGAAAACTAAAGCCTTAATAGGAGAAGCAGGAGCAACATTTGTGAATGCTGTGAGTACGTCTTCTACATTTACCCAGTGGTGGAAAGTAAATGAATGCATTTACTGCAGTACTGTACTTTAGTGCAGTTCTTAAATACTTGAATATTTCCATTTTATGCCAGATTTTACACCAAAACCACAAGATATGCTTGTAGAATTTAATACATTGCTACAGGTTAAACCAACTGTTCTTGCTTGGCATGCTCAGATGTCATTACATAAACAGATGAGTTGTCAGTTAAGTCATTTCCCCTCTAAACTCATCACATGGTTTCATTTAAAATACGTCATCTGGTGAGGCCCAAAGAGGTACAAGTATCCAATATTTCACAAAGAAGCATATATTACATAAAACTCATAAATCTGAAAATAAATGAGTTTATTGTCCTTTTAAAAAAATATTATGACCCCTCAAGTTAATCTGGTGACCCTTTGGAGGTCCACGACCCCTATGTAAGCTAGCTAACTGTAGGTAAAGTACTAAAACTAGCTCCAACTTGAGTAGCTGAAATACTAAAATACTGCTCTAACATTAATGCATCACAATTTTTTTTCTAATATCAGTCAAATATCACAGGATATATTTTATATTATATTTTAGTACTTTTTCTTCGATACTTGAAATACATTTTGTACTAAAGGGCCTGCATCCTTTTTTCAGTCCCCTTTGATTTCACATGTTTTAAAATGTGGAAACTGAACACATCCTCCTCTCCCCGGTCATGCTTCTCTTTTGTCACCTTTCCCCTTCTTCTCCTTCTTCTTCCTCCGTCACCGCTCTCGCTTCCTTCTTCTCCGCTGAAGTTCACCGTCACGCCGCTGTGCTGCCCCAGCAGGAGCAGCATTCTGACCGGTCAGTACCCCCACAACCACGAGGTGAGGAACAACTCACTGTCAGGGAACTGCTCCAGCATTCAGTGGCAGAAAGGCCCCGAGTCCACGGCCTTCCCCATCTACCTCAACAAGCAGAAGTACCAGACGTTCTTCGCTGGGAAATATCTCAACCAGGTTTGACCACGTGTAAACTTGATAAGCTGTTCTGTGTTTAGTATATATGGTGGTTTTATGATTCAAGAAGAAGCTGTGCTAAAGCTTGACTGCTTGAAAATTATTTAAACTTGACCCAAATATATTTAAAAGTTATAAACATGTTATATAAATGTTTCCCGTTCTAAAAGGTAATTTTAACCAAACAGACTAAAGCCATAGGAATAATGCTACCAAGCAGATGTTTAGCATGTTTAATGTTGAACATTAAAAGTAAATTCCATACAAAAACAGAAAAGTGAACCATATGGTGGCTCAAAAATACAAATGAATGGTTCTCCAAGTCATTACAATTCTTCCTCAGGGGGACATGAGTGTCGGTACAACATTTCATAGCTAGCAATCCCATAATGGTTGATATAATTCAGTCTGGAGTGGACAGGGTAATCCATAGACAAAGAATATACAATTCCTTAGAAAAAGTCAGTATAATACAACTTTTCTTACCTTTCAAATCTGAACTTGTTCATGAGTGTGTCTAGAACATTTTATTTTAAAAGATAGTTAAGAAAACGCATGACTTCAAAACAAAGATCATGACTTTTGGACATAATTATGCTTGACGATGATAACATTTGCCACAAATCATGCTCTACCAAAGTGTTGCTTTGAACTCTTGTTACACACTTTCTAATGTCTGTGGCTTATTTAAATGTTTTTTTTTCCACCATCAGTATGGTAAAAAAGACGAAGGAGAGGTTGGTCATGTTCCACCGGGCTGGGACCAGTGGCATGCATTGGTGAGTATCACACGCACGCACGCACACACACACACACACACGCACACACGTAAACACACACGTAAACACACACTATTACTGTATGTCCGAGTACTTCTGTTGTCACATGCATTGCTATATGTTTACAGGTGGGGAACTCGCAGTACTATAACTACACACTGTCAGTCAACGGCAAAGAGGAAAAGCATGCAGACAGTTATGAACAGGACTACTTCACCGACCTGATCGTAAGTACTGAGTGCAATGACTTGTGCATGAACCCGGTCTGTGATCAGCACTATTTCATGCATTGAGACATCTATAGGGACAATTATGTAGGAAGAAAAAAAAGAATGTTCACCTAAAAACTGTCTGAATCAGCTGATGTCTCATAAATACAACATGTGTCTAAAGAGTGTCTGCCAGTCAGCAGTGTTGAAGGTTAATCATCAACAACTAGATTGTGTACTAAAACTGCAAGAAAAACAAGCTAATATCATTTTTTATTTTTTTTATTTAACGTCATTTAAGTATTTATATTTGTCAGTGGTTGATTGAAGATGTTTGGCTTCTTCGTTGTTTTCCTTCAAATGCATGTCGTCTTGTTTTGTGGTGTCATGCTGCTGCTTGTCACCCACATCAGGTGACAGATGAGTTTTCTGCAGCTGTTGACCTATTCTGCTGTAAATATAGTTTACGAGGAGCTGTACTTCCCTTGTCACTTGCTGTTCTATTGTTTGTTCTTAAGTTCATTGTACGCCTTTGAGTATCACACTTCCATAAAGTTTGGGGACTTCTCGGCAACAGATTGATTTGTTTGTTCGGTGAAAGCAAGACTCATTTATATTCCTAAGCGTTTTGTGGCATTAGGTTTTTGGTTGTCCCATTTTATGCTGTATCTAAAAGAAGAAAAAAAAGAAAACTGGAGGTAATTTTGGCATAAACCAATTGCACTGAAGAGGAAATTGATCAATATCTTTGTGTTTCGTATGGGATTTGAGCACGACTTAAAGACTATTATATACAATTCCTGATCATGAGCTAAAAATAAATAAATCAGCTCCAAATCATGAAGAAAACCAACCATCTTATCAGTGACAAACAGTTTTATAAGTCAGTTGTGTTAATAATGCAAGGCAAGTTTATTTATATAGCACCTTTCAACACAAGGCAATTCAAAGTGCTTTACAAAAATGAAAGACATTAAGAGCTTAAGAAACATATTATAAAATGATATCTAGAAACACTCATTTAAAAGCAAAGATAAAAAGCAAAGATAATAAAAGTTACAATGCAGTTTAAGATATTGAATATATCAATTAAAAGCAGCGGCAAAAAGAAAAGTCTTCAGCCTGGATATAAAAGTAGTAAGAGTTGCAGCGGACCTGCAGGTTTCTGGGAGTTTGTTCTAGATATTTGGAGCATAATAACTGAACGCTGCTTCTCCATGTTTAGTTCTGACTCTGGGGACAGAAAGCTGACCAGTCCCTGAAGACCTGAGAGTTCTGGATGGTTCATAATTTAGCAGTAGGTCAGAAATGTATTTTGGGCCTAAACCATTCAATGCTTTATAAACCAGCAACAATATTTTGGAATCAATTCTTTGACATACAGGAAGCCAGTGTAAGGACTTCAGAACAGGAGTGATGTGATCCACTTTCTTAATGTTAGTGAGGACTCGAGCAGCGGCGTTCTGAATTAGCTGCAGCTTTGTAATGGATTTTTTAGTGAGACCTGTGAAGACACCATTACAGTAGTCCAGTCTACTGAAGATAAAAGCATGGACAAGTTTTTCCAAATCCTGCTGTGACATTAGTCTTTTAATCCTAGATATGTTCTTTAGGTAAGCTGATTTAGTAATTGTTTTAATGTGACTGTTGAAACTCAGGTCAGAGTCCACTACACCTAGATTTCTGGCTTTATCTGTTGTTTTGAACATTGCAGACTGAAGCTCAGCGCTAACTTTTATACGTTCTGCCTTTGCTCCAAAAACCATTACCTCAGTTTTATCTTTGTTTAATTGGAAAAAGTTCTGACACATCCAGTCATTGATTTGTTCAATGCACTTACTCAGGCCTAGGCTCCACGGGGACGAAAACGGGTTGAATCCGCATATTTCTCATGCGTATAGCCCTTTAAGCTCGACGACGCCGTAACGGAAACGTAGAAACAGACCCCGCAAACGACAACGGGTCCAAAGGTGGATAGATCTGGGAACGGAGCGCTCTGGGGGGTCCAACGGGGCCGTGGGGTCGCCTATACGGTCATCCGTTTCATAGCCCCGCCTCTCCCCGCCCCCACCTCTTCCCACCTCTCCGCGTACCCCGCATCATTGCTGATGTGTTTCGTTAACAACAACAATAGCTATTTTAATTACCTCTCAAACTACCTAAACTAGTTATAAATATGTTTATTTTTACTGTCGAGTCATCATTACTGGATCAGCTGCTGCATGAGACAGACACTGACGCTGTGAGAAGAGAGGAAAAAGAGACAGGCTCTGTGTATTTTATTATCATATATCGTTGTTATTCATTTGTTTTAAAGCTCAATAAATAACAAAGAAGACCTTTGACCGGCACTTTTATAATTTTGTCCGGAAGATTTAAACTTTAACACACGTTGACCGGCGAAAAACTCTGCCCGGATCCCTTGGCCCCCACCGCGGAGAATAAACAGAAGTGCAGCCATGACAACCATTCTTCTTCGCTGCTTTTGTGGAGGAAGTTGCTGCTTTTGTGGAGGAAGTTACAGCGCCACGTACAGGCTCGGCATATGTACTGCAGCTTTCCCAGCAGTTGGATGTAAACGGAGCCGTCTCGTGGAGCTTGACACAATCCGGTGTATATTGCGTGTGGGCGGAAGGTTTTTTGCGGTTGCGGTTGCGTTTGCGTTACTCCGATGCGTTTTGCCGTATGCGTTCCCATGGAGCTGGGGCCTCAGTGTTTGAATTGGGGCATAGTCTCCTGGTGAAATGGTTATGTAAATGTGTGTGTCATCCGCATAGCTATGGTAACTTATTTTGTTGTTTTTCATTATCTGGGCCAGTGGTAGCATGTAGATGTTAAAGAGAAGAGGCCCCAAGATGGAGCCTTGAGGAACCCCACATGTCATATTTGGCAACTCAGATGTGTATTTACCTATAGAAACAAAGTGGTTTCTGTCCTTTAAGTAGGATTCAAACCAATTTAGAACTGTTGCCGAAAGTCCCACCCGGTTTTCCAGTCGGTCTAGTAATATGTTGTGGTCAACAGTGTCAAACGCAGCACTGAGATCTAATAATACTAACACTGAAGATCTGCCACTGTCTGTGTTTAAGTGGATGTCATTGAAGACCTTTACAAGAGCAGTCTCAGTGCTGTGGTTTGGACGAAAGCCTGACTGGAACACATCGAAACAGTTATTTAAATGCAATAAATTACTCAACTGTTGAAAAGCTACTTTTTCAATGGTTTTACCTAGAAATGGCAGGTTTGATATGGGCCTGTAATTGTTCATTACTGAAGCATCTAGATTATTCTTTTTTAAGAGCGGTTTAATGACTGCCGTTTTTAGGGCCTGTGGAAAAACACCTGAGTGAAGAGATTTGTTTACTATATGAAGTAGATCGGAGGCCATGCAATGAAAAACATTTTTGAAAAATCCTGTAGGTATAATATCAAGGCAGCAGGAGGAGGATTTCAGAAGTTGAATAATGTCCTCTAGGTTTTTATCATTAATCTGATGGAATTGTGTCATGGTGTTTGAATTGATTTTAAGTGGACACAGGGACAAAACATTTGCTGTACCTGATACAGAGGCACTTGTCAGTGAAGAAGGAGGCACATTCATTGCAGGCCCTGGTGGATAGAATTTCAGAGGCTACTGACACTGGGGGGTTTTGTTAGTCTGTCAACGGTACCCTCTGTCCTGGGGGTTGTCAACATGGATGTTAAAATCACCAACAATGACTAGTCAAAGTCAATACACACTATTGACAGCAGTTCAGTAAAGTCATCAAAAAAGCTTGCACAGTATTTGGGTGGTCTATAGATATTTAGGAACAGAGCTCGAGAGGAGCATTTCAGCTGAAGGGCCACATATTCAAAAGAAGCAAAGTCCCCATAAGATGTCTTCCTGCATTGAATGGAATCATTGAACAAAATAGCAACTCCACCTCCTTTCTTATGCATTCTTTCCTGACTCATAAAACTGAAGTTGGGAGGTGTTGATTCGATAAGAACAGCTGCACTGTTATTTTGTTCAATCCAAGTTTCCGTTAAAAACATAAAATCGAGATTGTGCTCAGTGATAAAATCATTGATTTAAAAACGTTTTTCCTGCCAAAGACCTGACATTTAATAAAGCTAGTTTAAGTTTGTTAAATACACTATCTGTCAGATTTGTTGTGACAAGCTGTGGCTGACATGGAATCACTGCTAAATTTGATAAACTCACACAAACGTTTGAGCGCTTCCTGTTTCTAAGCTGATTCACCGCTCTTAATCTATTACCTATCATAACAGATATCGGCAAAGCTACTGGCAGGAAGGGCCCCGGCATGTCCTGGAAAGAGTTGAGAGTGCCATATGCCCTTGAGCCTGGACCCAGCACATATCAGTTAGTTTGCTGCATTTTGTACACACACATTCTTATCAGGCTTCGGAGACCGCAGATGCTGTCTTGAAGGGGGGGAAGGTGGTTGACGTAGGCACAGTGATGAAGACGGGGGAGATGGTGCGCGTCTCTGCTTCGGTGATTGTGGTGGGCGTTGTTGAGGGGCGGGGGTAAAGGACATGCTGCCAACCCTGCGTATCGCCTTCATGCGGTCATTGAACTCCAGGAAGGAATTGGTGCCAACCCTCTGTATCTCCTTCATGTGGTCGAACTCCAGGAGGGTGGGCGAGGGTGAAAGGGTGAACGGAGAGTAGAGAGAGCTGGGGGGTGAAGGAAGAGTATCCTCAAAGGTGATAGGGGGGGTGAAGGGCGGTGGAGACTCCTCCATTCGTTCAATAAGCATCCAAAGTTTTCTTCAGCAGTGGAAGGCCGTATTTAAATCACAGTCTGTGCCTTTGAGCATCAGTCACATCTAATAACATGTGTTTAGAAGCTTCTGACAAGCTCTATTACATATCCTGTGATTATAATGACTCACAGATGCAGCATCAACCCTCCCGGTTTTCACCTCTTCCAATTTATTTTCTACCAATTTATACACTAACAGTGTTTATTTCCCGATATTTGATCCAGGTTATAACAGACTAAGTGGCTGTTTCCTTGTTAGTATCTCCATATGTGTTTTTAATAATTTGTGTATTCAGTCCCTGCTTATTTCTCCTCGATCCAGACGAACCGGTCGCTTCACTTCCTGGATGACAGGAGCCCTCAGCATCCCTTCTTCCTGATGCTTTCCCCCCCCGCGCCTCACTCCCCCTGGATGGCAGCCCCGCAGTACCAGAAGGAGTTCAGCGACGTTAAAGCTCCTCGAGGCGGGAGCTTTGACAAACCAGGGAAGGTGTGTTCAAGATGATCAAATATTTGTTGATATAGATGACAGTTTTTAATGTTATTTACAAATCTATATGTTTCTTTGTGCTTCAGGACAAACACTGGCTGCTGCGTCAGCCTGTCAGCCCCATGCCCAAAACCTCCCTCACCTTCCTGGATAATGCGTATAGGAAGAGGTACTGCCAGACAAATCTGATTCAGACTGAAATATCTCATCAAAGTGAATTAACTAGAAGTTGTGTTTAAATTAATATTTATGATGTCATATTTGGCGTCACAGTTTCCTTACTAAATCTTTATTTAGTTTGTTTTTCCCAGAATATTTTTCACATTTGAGAATATCTTTTCACTGATTAGAATCAAAGAAAGGGATTGGGACATACTTTGTTGTTCTGCAAAACCATTCAAATATAATTGACATTTTCAATAAGAAAAATACATTGACCAAAAATACTGAAAAGGAAATTACTTTTAGGTTGTTATTTCAAAAATAAAGAATGAACACGTCATAGTATGTACATTGTAATGGAGATGTTGTCCTTTATATTTATTTAATTTTTACTCTTATTTCAATTGTAATTATTTTCTGGACATCAACCTACGTAACCTTGTATATCGCCCTACATTTCACTGCACAGTGCACATATTCTATATTTAATATTTATCCTTTATATCAGAGCACATTACCAAACTGTAGACTTTAAACAATGTAAATAATGATCTCTCCTTCAGATGGCAGACCCTGTTATCTGTGGACGACATGGTGGAGCTGCTGGTGAAGAAACTTGAAAGCATAAAGGAACTGGACAACACCTACATCATCTACACCTCTGATAACGGATACCACACAGGTGAGAGCCCCTCCTCTGGTACTCAGATACATATATACTCTGTACTTCCTGTCTGTGTGCTGCCTCACAGTAATCTCCACTGTTCACAGGTCAGTTCTCTTTGCCCATTGACAAGAGGCAGCTGTATGAATTTGACATCCGGGTCCCACTCATGGTCCGCGGTCCTGGCATCAAACCCAACCAGACACTGCAGGTCTGACACACATTTACACGCATGTTATTCTTTGCATCTGTTAATCCATAGTATTAGTTTGTCTTTTAATCATTTCTTTATGGCTCTTTCAGGCTCCAGTGCTGAATATTGACCTGGCTCCCACCATTCTGGACATATCTGGTGTCAACCTGACAACTCTGAATGTGGATGGGCAGTCGTTCCTCTCTCAGATGGTCAGCTTCTTCTTTAAATATTTTTCTAAATGTCATTTGTTTCTCAAACTTAAATAACATCACCTAATAATTCTCTGCCTGTTAGGCCCCAACGCTGCGTAATGGCACTGCACGCCCCTTTTTCCTTGTTGAATACACCGGAGAGGGACATGAAAAAACTGACCCCGCTTGTCCTAAACTGGGCCCTGGACTTTCTGTGAGTATATACAGCAAGAAAAGACTAACGTTTAACGAATAATTATAGGATATCAATACGCAAATTGTTGGTTAATTGTTAAAGTCATTTATCCAGCAGAAATGCACGATTATCTTCACACAAGGTTTATTCAGTAGCATTTATGGAGCTTTCGAAACACATCTCATGATCTGAAAATGCTCAGAGGAAAGGAAATGTAACACCAAACACCTCAAACACCTGCAGGGGAGGCATGTGTGATATGACTGAAAGTTCCTGAACAGCTAAGCAGTTGTTTTGCTAAATGAAGTTGGGTTTAAATCACATGTTTGCGTATCAGAAGTTTGCATGACTACCCTCTGCAGTTGGCAGGAGTGTGTATGGTTTCAGCTTCCAAAAACAATAATGACAGTAATTCTAAGCTGCAGCGATGACTCATCACTTGATTTTCCTCAGCAATGTTTCCCGGACTGCGTGTGTGAAGACGCCTACAACAACACCTACGCCTGTGTCAGGACCCTCGACAAGGGACACGACCTGCAGTACTGCGAGTTCGCAGACAGCGAGGTAACGTGAGACTGTGACACACATTCAGACAGTGGTGGACGTTCACTCAATGACTGTTCTTAATAACCATTTGAGGTTCTTTATTTGAGTATTTTCATTTTATGCTTCTTTATACTTTTTTTTTCGAAAGAAAAATTCACAGCTTTAGTTCATTTTAATTATAATTGTTTTTGTATTCCCTTCCTGTCACGTTAAAATCTATCTCCAGATGTGTTGTTTTTTAAAGTTTGTGATAAACTGAAAGAGGAAGGGTTTCTTTATCTTCTACTTCTTAAACTAAATAAACTATATATAACCCTTATGCATAAGCTGGAAAATGCATCGTCATAAAGATAAAAAAACTGCATTTTTTCCGATCTCATGACAAGTTCTAAAAAGGGAGCATTGCCAGAAATCATATGAGGATCTTATAAAATAGTATGAATTGCTGGAGATTAAGCTGCAGAACATAATATCAAGGAGTTTAAATGAGCTAGCCTTGAGCTCCTACAGCAGTAAAATGCAACATACACTTTAATGCAGAATTTATATTAATCCAGAGACATCATATCTAATAGTATGCTGCTTTAAGACTGCTTTTACTTTTCATCCTAAAAATACATTTCGCTACATATTTTTACTTAAATTAAGGTTTTGAATGCAGGAAATGCAGTATTTGCCCAGTGTGGTTTTTGTACTTTCATTAAAAAGGATCTGAATATCTCTTTTGTTTCCTCTGTGTGTCCCCAGTCATTTGTAGAAGTGTACAACCTGACGTCAGACCCCCACCAGCTGGTGAACATCGTGAAGTCGGTGGACCCGACCGTCCTGCAGGCGATGAACCAGCGGCTCATAAAGCTCCAGTCCTGTCAGGGCGACAGCTGCCGGGACGTCAAGTAAAGCAGAGTCAGCGCTCTGTCAAAGCTGCTTCATGCCCTCAGTGGAAGACGGGTTGGTTTATCTGACTGTTTTCCCGAATTTTACCACAAGTATGATAGCTGGATCGGGCTTTTTAATGACCATGTTTCTTGTGTTGTGACATGTCTCCGTAGGAAAAGCACTGGTGTTAATAATAAAAAGGAAGGATGGCTGGATTCTATTTAGCTGCTTCAGTTTCAGGGTCCTGGTATTGTGCACTGTCACTCTGTCATGGTTTACTGGGACATTTGAATAGAAAAAAGCCATTGTTAAAGGAAATGTGTTTTGGGAAATTAGCTTTCTTGCTGAGAGTTATATTCTGAATATCCTTTGAAGTCATGGGCTAGATAAATAATAAAGCTACAGTTAGCAGGTGGTAAGCTTAGGCTGGGAAACGGCTAGCCCGGATCTACCTTTACCTCTAAAGCTCAATACTTAGAATTGTACATCTTTCTAAGACCGAAGTGCCAGTGCCTATTTCTTGGTTGGGAAGAAAGAAATCGTCCTTAAAGTAATACAGATAGTGCTTGCACAACTACAAGGGTTTTTTTTGTTGCATATTTCCCAAATGTTTCCTTTTAAATGTATTCCTAACACCTGTGTTTTTCTTACAATGACATGCCAAAATGTGTGCAATGAAAATGTTCCGTCTGTTTTTTTCCCGAGCTGTGCTCATACATCTCGCATTAAGTTTACTATATGTTATTTTAAGATAACTCCTTACCCAGTTTATATAGTGCAGATCTGCAGTCCAGTCAGTCAGTCCTTCTTGTTCTGCATCTCTACGTATGAACGGAATAAAACGCTTTTTAATGATTTTTACCATTATTCAAGGTTCAAATGCCAAACTAAAATGTGTGTTCAAATGACACATAACCAAATATTCACTTGTACACTGTGGATGTCATGTATTCAATCATCTCTAAGGGAATAGTTTGATATGTTAGGAGTGGGAAATGAGAAGATTGATGCCACTCATATGTCCGTCTGTCCATAAAAAGCAGATGGTAAACTCACTTGGCACAATAAAGACATTTGGAAATAGGGGAAACAACTAGTCTGGTGCTGTTCAAAGGTAAACAAAATCCACCTAGCTGCAGCTCTATAGCTCACCAATCAAAATGTCATATATTGTTTGGTTAATTCAGATAAAAACTTTGCAAATTGCAACTTTATCAAGGAATGCGGGACTGTTTCTTGAGTCCCTGAATTTAGCTTGGAAGGAAATAGACCAACTGAAGGAAAAAAAACAATAAAACTACTATTTGTCGTTTTGACAGGTCAGTTTGTGTATAAATTAAACAAACAATTTTAAACTTTAATGGTCATGCTACATTTATTTGGTTACCCTTGCACAGAGCCAGGCTTGCTGTTTCCAGTCCTTTTGCTGCTGGCGTTATCTTCATTTTTATCGTGAAGACCTTCTATTCAAACACTTTGCAATATTACCTATGCATGGTAAAGCTCTTTTCTGAATATTTTTAACTCATACTTTTATATCTATTCAGCAGTACTTGAGTTCTGACACAAAGGCTTTTTTAATTGGACATCGGGATGTGTTGGATTATTTCTCCTATTTGTGCCTCGGATTTAAAGAATTAACATCATTTTAGTTTTTCAATCCTGATGTTTTGTTTATTACAATATTTGACACTGTGTATAATTAGTAACATTTTTATTGAGCCTTTTTAAACAGAAAGATGGAAAAAGTGCTGTGATACTTTTGAGATATGTTGAGGATTTTGTAATTGTGAGAAAGGGGAAATTGTACCTGGTACCATATGAAATGAACGCTTTGATCCTGTGTGCCTTGTGTTTGCACTGACGAGGCTCACGTGCCTTAAATGTGAATGTATTTGCAATGTGATTAAATTAAAAATAAATCAGAAGCATTTAAATGAACTTGTTATGTGGATATTTCAAAGAGGTGTCACACAGCTAATAAAGTACAATTTACTATTTAGCATTTATAAGCACTGAAATATTAAATAAATACATATTGAACTATAATGTAGTTCTAATCATCTTTGAGGACATGTTAAGTGTCACTAATTATAAAATCTCATAAGACATTTTAAATTATTACTACTGTGTTTACCTACATTTTCATTTACTAAGTTTATACAGCAGCCTTGTATCTGCCTGCAACTACATTATAGTGTAATAAACCATTAAAAAAAAACATTTATGTATCCTAATAACTGCTATAAAGGGAGGGCCAATTGCTTTTGAATCCTAAGTGGGGGAAATTAATATAGAACATGCATCCTGCACTTTTAACCAGGATGGCAGCTTTAAGTAACTGAGTCAGGATTTCTAGAAAGAGACATTGCAGATGAGTTTTTCAAATATATTTTTATTTTATTCTGAGTCACAAATACCCTGAAACTGAAATCCAATGAAAATTGATAAGTCAAGTTTAGATACACTGAGAAAAGATAAAGGAAACCAGAACAAAGTCACCATTTTATACAATAACAGAATCCAGTCGTTGTTATATCTACAAGAAAAAGAATTCAGCTTTAGCATGTCACATATCCATCAGAGGTACTTGTACACAGTTTTATGCTGCAGGGTCTGAATCTCTAACTTCACGGGGCATTTGTACAAGTGTGACAGTAGTGTCTCTGTATAGCCTATTAGGAAGTAAAACTTCATTGGTGGTAATCTCTGTAGCATTAAAGCGCACACTGTCAGCAGGTTGCCGCGCCTTTTGATCACAATTTCATTTGCCAGGCATCCGTGGAAGGTCCCGAACATGAAGCGCCGGATGAAGACGTCCTCTATGGTCCTCTCAGCTGCACCCCCCTCTCCTTTCAGGTTACCTGGTAGTAGCGGCAAGGAGAGTAGTATTGAGATAGCAGCACTAAATCCAAAGTTAATCAATTAAGGTATCGTGGTCAGTCTGGAGTGAGAGAAACACCAGATCCAAGCTGTTAAATTGCTCTTTAAATTGTGGTCATACGTACTGGTGTGCTGCGACAGCCATCCTTTGCGGTGGCCGATGTAATGAGGGGGTAGTGCCTGGTCATAGGTCACAGGTTTGTCTCCTTTCCCCACTCGGACCCTAGCTGCATGATTCTTATAAGATAAAAGAAAAGGGAAAGAGTCAGTAAAAAAGACATGTTGAAAAGATGTCAGCTTGTTAACTTGATGTCTGGAGCTCAGTGTTCACCTTGCAGCACACCGCGGTGACGTGGAGGGCTCTGCTTCCAGACGGGCTGCATAATGAGCCAGACCTGGCCAAAGCGCTCTGCAGAGGAAACACCATGAGAGAAAAAAAAACATCAGATTTCTGCAACAAGTGCTGAGAACAGAAGGCTTTAATGGGTTTACCTAAGAGTATAAATTGGGCTTGTGAAATGATGAAATTCAGTTACATATCCCAGTTTACCCTAACTCATATCCACCCTTGGTTAAGCCCAGTTGTGGAATTTAAAAAGTAACATTACTCAAGTAGCTACTGTGGTTAAGTAGTGTATGTAAGTACGTTTGATCTACTCGTGTATTTCCATGTTATGTTATTATTCTACTCGACTACATCTCTACAAGGGAGATATTGGACTTTTTACTCCACTACATCTAACCAACAGAATACTAAGTAGTTTAAGCATATCCTAAAACATCTACAGCATGAATATGTAAAATACACATTAATGCAGCAGGAATATTAATCTAAAAGCATAATCTAATAGAGTACACTGTACGAATACAGTTATGTGAATGCATACGTCGTTTGTCCACCATAGGATGTGTTAAAACATTAAGAATAATCTGGATAATTACAATGCAGACTGAATATGTGACACAGTAAATTAATAAATAGATCTTATAGAGTAAGGATATCCTTATCAAACGCTTTGACGAGATGACATACAGGAAGCTGTAAGCGGCTGGTACTTTAAACTGTTAGCTTTTAATGAACCCCCTCTCAAACTGTACAGCTGAATACATCATAGTAAACCAATATGTTATAATGTCAACATAAATGAGTATTTAAAAACAGATAAATATTAGTTTACTTACCAGCAGCATCGCGCTTCGTGTGCTCAAGGACGCCGCCGCCATGTTTTCTGAATACCACAATGTTGGGACCCCAGAGAGCTAAGGATTATTACTCTTACTCTTAATATTCTCTTATAGCTTGAATATTGAAATAAAATTGCAACACTGCACTGATTATAAGTAATGGTTAAATGGCAAATTTGCTATTTTTCCAGTAAACTATGCCTGTACAGTGGAACTGTTTATCCGACATTTAGGCAGCTGTTTCCAGCGGACGACTGTTGAGCTGTACTAACCGGATAGAGAACAAATAAACCATTTGGACAACCTTTTGGTTGGAATTGTTTTATTTGTAATCGTCATTAGTGATGTAAAAAATACACAGGACACTTATATATCTTTATATTTACGTTTCTGGGCTTTGTGTAATTAAATGGATCAAATTGTGCGTGTTTGTGGAGATGGTGCACTTACTTTGAAAATACTTAACCGGAAGTGTTATTATTGTTCTGGAAAGAGAACCAGGCATTAAGAGGCGAGTCTTACTTATTCATAAACTCATATTTGTGGACACAAGAAGTTTACAACTAGGTTATAACTCGCTGTTTTACATATCTTTAAAGTCAGTGAACACGGTTATACAGTGAAAGCAGCGATGGCGTCGCCTCTGCAGATGACAGAGATGTACGACAACGCTCTGCTCGGGATCTTGCAGCACGTTGGAAACATTCAGGACTTTCTTCAGGTCTATTTTGGGTTTCTGTACCGCAAGACGGACTATTATCGCCTGTTGGCAGGTCCAAACGATAAGATGGGCTTCCCTCCTGGCGTGGCGGAGAAGATGGTGCTCAAGGTGAAGTTAGTCAACAAACTGGTGTTTTCAGTGTCATGGCAACATGGCTATTTAACTCTTAAACCCCTTGCAACCAACACAAAAAAATCATTAAGTTAGATCACTCACTGGTATACTAAATACATTTCTATAGTCTGCTTTTCTCTTACAGGATGTGTTGGTTTGAGGATTTTGAAATTGACAGATACATTGAGAGGTGTTTTTATTATTTTGCCCATGCCATATAAATCAATGAGGGTAGGCTAAATAACAGAAACACCAAAAACGGACCATTACAACTTTATTTAAGAGAGTATTTATTTGCAGGACTGTTGTAATAGACTGCATTATAGTTTTAGCCTGGAGAAACTAATTAACTATAGATTTAAATCTCAGGTTTAGATAAAGCTATTGTGCTTCAATGAGCCAGCAGTTTAGTTCCTCCTATCTGAATCAAGTTATACAAACTAGTGAAATTCATGCCTTGACCTGTAATAATCTTTCATTTCCTCTTCAGATGTTTAAGAATTTTGAGAAGCTGGCAGATCAGGACAGAGAGAGGCAGCTGAGCGAGGTGCAGAGGAGAGAGCAGAGTCGATGTGTTCCTCCGGCACTTCAAGAGCTGGAGGTGGCAGAGGAGACCGTGGAGCAGAGCTCAGAGAAGGCACAGACAGAGAGCTCCCCTTCAGATGCTGCTGATGTTCCAGCTGCTGCCTCCTCCTCAACAGCGACTGTGAGCCCCCAGCCCCACAGCAGCAGCAGCAGCAGCTCAGGTCCCAGCCAGCCAGCTCAGGGAGACCAGGCAGCTGCAGCCAGCACAACCTCAGCAGAAGGGTGAGCTTCTTTATCCTTAAAAGCTTCTATTCAGTCATTTGACAAATGTCATATTAGTAAATCTCTGTACATGCACACTGTGTTGTCAGTATTATCTTCATGAGCTCTAAGTTTAAAGATGGGACACCTTTATGATTGTATCTGCCAACTGTCTACAGAAACTGACCCAGACTGGAACAGATCCGAGGCCATCAGTTTCCAACGCCCAAATCAGATTTAAAACTCAACAGTTGTAATTGACTAATGCCAAAGTGTGACCACACAACCAGACTTTTTTCAGAACCAGGTCTTTCTTATAATAAGTCGACTTTCTACCACAGTGTTTGAGTATGAGACACATCGTCTAAAACTTTTGTGTGGCACAATGCGGCCTAGACTTAACGAACCCACATAGCAAAATCCAGGTTGTATACTTATGTCTGATAGAATCGTTTTTTCAAACATATTGATATGACAAAAGTAAGATGGTTACAGAGTCATAATTGCCCAGCTGTAGTATAGAATAATCTGATAATAATCCTAATTAAATTCCAGTGAGTGTTTATGCATGTCAAATAAATAACAGGGGAGGAGCACAAGATATTTGACATATCATGGGTTATTAAATGATTGTTGTCTGTGTGTATTTTGTGTTTCAGGAGTCGGGACAAGTTGCAGGCCGACCCCGACACCTACAACGGGGCTGTGAGGGAAAACTACAGCTGGTCTCAGGACTACACCGACGTGGAGATCCGCGTGTTTGTGCCAAAGACGGTTTTAAAAGGCAAACAGGTAAACACAGTGTTTTCTACCTCCTGACATACCAGGAATTCCTCAATTATCATTCTACTGATTTCAGTTGTGAGTTTAACATGCTGTGTGTCGTCAGGTCAGAGTTAATCTGCTGGCCAGCAGCATGCAGGTGTGTGTGAGGGAGGGTGCCGAAGAAAAAACACTGATGGAGGGAGAGTTCACTCACAAGATCAACACTGAAAACTCTCTGTGGAGTCTGGAGCCTGGAAACTGTGTGGTCGTGAGTAAACACTCATACATATTTACAGATTTGTATCTTTTAAATTAACATCATTTCATTTACCTCATTGTTTTTGACCTCCAGCTGTCCCTCAGTAAGACATCAGAGGTTTGGTGGAGCGCAGTGCTGAAAGGAGAAGCAGAAATTGATATAAACCAAATAAACCGCGAGCGCTCCATGGCAACGGTTGATGAAGAGGAACACGCCGTTCTGGACCGACTCTCCTTCGACTACCATCAGAAGCTGCAGGGAAAACCACAGAGTCACGAAACGGTAAAGACCCAACTCAATACAGCGATTTAAGCCATGGAAAAAAGCACATCTACTCATGAAATGTACTTAGAAACAGTTTAGACGAACTTGTTGCTACTTTATACTTATACTTCACTATAATTAAATAGGGAATATTTTATTGTTAACTAGAGAATGCAATTCCTGAAGAAATTGCTAGTGGGAATGCTTTATGCTGAAAAGCTGACGCTATGCTGAAATGTGTAAGAAGAAAGTGAAGAATTTAGATTGAAATGATACATGAACACTGGGGGCTTGAATGTGTGATGAGAGAAGAAAAGAAAGTAAAAAGGCTTGGAAAAGCAGCAGAATATTTGAACTGCAAACTTTTGAACTAACTTGATGGCGAATTATCTGTCGCCATGCCAACGGCATTTGATGACATCCCATAATGCGCTTAGATGCGTTGATGGCTGCATCGTTACCAAACCTGTGAAGTTTTGGGCCGTTTGGAGCATTTTCACTGAAGTTATGAGAAAACCGTGTTTCATGGTGAGCATTGTGTTGCCATGGCAACGGCATTTGAAGAAATCTCAAAACTGTCCCGTAGATGTCTTCACGGCTGGACTGTTAGCACACATGTGAAGTTTGAGCACTTTTTGAACATTTTCATAGGAGTTATAGCGACATCGTCTTTTATGGCGAGGGATAACGGCATATGATGAAACCCCATAATTGACGTAGAGCTGTTGAGGGATGGACCGTTAACCATTATCTGAAGTCTGCTGCTCTGAGCATGTGAGTTGGAGTTATGACATCATCGTGTTCCATGACACAGGTGTTTATATATGAGCTAACGACGTGTCCAGAGATCAAAGGTTTCCATGGTGATGTGCAGTAATCAGTGAGAGGAGAGCATTTTTATTGTTCTGAATGAGAGATAAACCTCTTACATGTGAACGTTTTGTTGAAGAACCGTAACAGATATCGGTGAAATTTCAAAGTGTGAAGCATGTCAAGGAACTTGAGCATCTGAAGTGTACTTTTTGTGTACTTTCGGGTTAATAATGTGGCCTTTTTGGCAGATTAACTAAAGGTGTGCGGCTGCTGTGGTGGGGAAAGATGAGGCTGAACTTACAATGGGGTTTAATGAAGATATGTTGAAAGTTTTTGTCACTTCATGCCCTCAAGAGGCATTTTGTTTAATTATTTTGCTTAATTTTTATTTATTTTTCAAGCTACAAGATGTTTTCCTACGTTTCTCATGAAAAATTATGTCTCCGGAATGTAGGGTTTGGGAATTATGGCAGGTTTAAAAGAAAATATGAAGGCAAAATTAAATCTGTCCTCCACTCTAGCTGCGACATCATGCAATCTGAAGAAGGCCTCTTTACCAAGGTCTGAACATTGTTTAATATCTGTAAAAGTACGAATCAGATTGAAAAGTTGTGTTACACGAATAATGTCAGAAAGATGTGTAACATTTTAAAGTTGGAATGAGGTTTCTGAGTGAAAGTATGAAGGAGCAGTTAGCAGTTGAAGTTGCATGAAGATTGTTCAAGTCTGAAGAGTTTCTCCATTGACTTCCATGTTAAAAATGTGATGTATTATGGGATGTATCTCTGGAATTATGAAAGTTATGAATAAGAAAAGTAATAGCCATCGATTCCCGACCGAGCTGAACGTTTTGATGTTTGAACGGAGTTTCTGCGATGTGGAATGTGGGAGAAGAAGAGGTGCAAAATAACCCGGCGGAATAATAAAGAATTTTGTGCGTAGCATAACAGATAGTTGGAATGCTGTATCAGCATTTCCACTAAACTAGGTTTCTTTGGCCATTCAGAAACAGGTGGTTTTCCATACAACTTAATTCAGACATGTATATGTATTTATTTTAGCGCTTTTCCAAGTGCTCAAATTGCTGTACATTACATTTTGTGTTGACGCCTCAAATGAATCCCCCCTGTAAGGGACGCTTGCATGCTCCTCTCACACTGAGATTTTAACAATTCCAAATCCTTACATAACAAATGCTGCTTTTTCTGTAGGGACACAATTATATTTCAAATTGAGTATCTCCCATCACTGAGTATGTTATGGTAATTATACCATTCCTCATTCCACATTATTTTTCACAAGCCGGAACTAATGCTGGTTAGGTTTTTGTGTCTAAATTATTAATATGATTTAAATTCAAGTTAAACTGGAGATTAAAACTCTTAAAATCAACATGATTTTGATCTACTAGAATGAAGATGTTTCACAAAATAATAAACACTCACGACTTGTACAGTAGTGAAAGCAACACATGATGATATTAAATCACTGATAGAAATGTGCTCGCTGTCTGAATCAGCATCAATGTGTTTTTACACTCAACATTTGCACATCGAGCTGACTTACCCCTAGATGGCACTGTGGGTTTTGATAGCCTGAATGGTGCATAGTGTATTTCACACATCTCCCTCCATGTCTCTCTACAGAAGGTGCATGACATGCTGAAGAAGGGCTGGGACGCTGAAGGCTCTCCGTTCAGGGGGCAGCAGTTCGACCCGTCCATGTTTGACATCCCGGCCAGCGCGGTGCAGTTCTGAAGCACAGCCAAAACTCAGCCAAATACGAACTGAATGCTAGTTTATTTGCAAAGCTGGCTGTAGGAAAGTCAACATTTACCTGCTGCTCTGTTATATTCGTCCTCAGCTGGGAGAGCAGCACTGAAGCTGGTTCTGTTTGGAGTGGGAATACCGACGAGGACTTGTCATTATATCATACGCTGATTTGATGTTTTGGCAGAATTATATCTGATACATTTGTTACATGTTTTTGCTCTTTATTTAAAAAACTTTTCAGTGCCTATATGAGTGATTTTATTGTGACCAATTTGCCGAAAATGTTCAGCCTTTAGTCTTCTCTCAGTAGCCAGGTTTGCGTCCAAATGTAGCGCACATTTTTACTTAATTTCAGAAAATCCACTGCTCATATTTAAATATTAGGAAATGATTAAATTGAGTAAAACAGCTGGTGTGTGAGAAAAACCTGGACACTCATAGGTCTGATGTTTTCAGAGTGTGTTTGTTGCATTTTGTTTTTACACCAAATTGAACACCTCCAACGATATAAACCAGGTTTTTGGTACAAATAGAAATGTTTCATGAAAAAAGAAGAATGTAAACTGAGATCTTGTCCCTCGGTGAATCTGTTCCTGTCCACCTGAAGAGTTTAGCAAGGACTCGTGTTTTTCACCTTCTCTTCATCTCGTTACCGGTTCAGACTTTTCCTTTTTCTTCATATAAGTCTATGATGTTGTACTTATTCAGAAAAGAATAGCAGATATACAATATTACAATATGGAAAAGGACTGTCTTTCCCACAAGTTATTATCAGGTTATTTGACTGTTTCACTGGATTAGCTGACTCATAACCAAAGAAAAAACATTTGCCAATTAAAACCCTCATTCATTTTATTTAGCAAGTATTAAATGTTTTCTAAAGTAGACTCTATCATAGGTATTCTGCCCATTTTGATTATCTGACCTCGTATAATGACTATTTTCCTTTGCGCATCTTTCTTTTTCTTTCATGGAGTCCGACCACTCTCTTTAACGCATCAATGTGTTCCTTCTCACTTTGGAAACTAACAATAGTTTGAGCTTGATATAAAGATTCTCCCAGCATCACTCGGTTCAAGGTAAATCAATGCTTTTAGCTTTTTTGATTCCAGTCGTCTTCTGCATCCCTCTAATTGAACTCTGGATAGTGCTACAATGCCTTCACAATTAGATTTGTGTATTATCTATAATCCATCTTTCCACTTTCCACATGGAAAGAATGAGTTGATATTGTGCTGAAGGGATGGGGGGTAAAAGGGAGATGGAAAGATAGAGTGGAGTACATTTAATGAGAGCCTTGTATCTTCTCAGCTGGAAGCAAAAAGGAGCGTTGTGACTGACATTGTTAGACATTGTTAGATACTGTAAAGATCAGATCTTTCCCTCTTACATGCGTTCCTTTCATCGGCCTGTCCGAAAGAAATGTAACAACCTCCTCGAGTTTACTTTCCATATTCTAACACAACTTGGCATCCTCTACAGCGCTTGCAATTGCCAATACACTCCCCTCTTGAGTTAAGCCATGATATCAAAGAAGCAACTCCACTGATTGCTGCAATCTAATTTAAATGAATTGATTTTGGCAAAATATGTTGCATATCTTTTTTTTTTAAATACGATAAACGTAAAAAAATACTATTTCTTGTCCAGATGCAGTGAGTTCCTAAAGTGTTTTCATTTAGCATATAATACATCTTTTCATTTAGCTTTTGCCATAAAAAGTCAAAAAGTATATTTCCCAAAATGTTCAAATTCAAAACTCCCAGTCAAAATAATCTAATGTTAGTAACTGGGCTATACAATTTAGTTTATATATTGCCTACAGGTTCCATATTCTAAATGAAGTTTTATTTTTAAAGCAGTAGTTCAAAATCAGCTGTCTGTACTCGATGGAATGTTTTGGCTAACACGCACACAGGCCAGGGGGGGGGGGGCAACACCAACTATTTGACCCTGCCTAATTAAAACTGTTAATAAAACAAGCCCCCTGTTATTACTGAATTCCTCTGTGAAAATATGATCTGCAGCTTTTAATTTCCTCCCTTATTAACGAGGTTCAGACAGGCAGCAGAAGTGATGTCATTATCAGCTGCAGGGGATCTCTTCATTATAGGATTTCAAATCTTCACCAGTGCTGGATGAAGTATTCAGATGCTTTACTTGAGTAAAAGTACAAATACATTATTGTGAAAATACTTCATTACGAGAAAAAAAGAGCTGAAATCGTACTTATGTAAAAGTGAAAAACTATTGTGCAGGAAAAGGGCCTTTTTAGTTATATTTATATATGTGACATTACAAGATAACTGTTGCATCAAGTACATTTTACTGTTGTGACTTTTTGTAAAATATGTAAAGAATTATCCAGGAGTTTAATTTTTAGAGATGCTGCATTTTGTTATAAATATAGCTGAAGCTGTTAAATAAATGTAGTGGAGTAAAATGACATTATTTGCCCTTTTAAATGGAGTAGAAGTACAAAGTAGCATACAATAGAAATACTTAGGTACACTACTTGAGTAAATACTTAGTTGCATCCCACCTCTGGTAATCAAATGGCATTAAATCTGCCTTTGATTTTGATTTTTTTGTACATTTCCCTTTTTCTCCACCCAGAGGAACACGTCATGTGTTGAGCTCACATTTCCAGTTTAAAGAGTCTTTCCTCAGAGCTCACTGCCAACCCATCGAGCTAAGCTGTGTGTGTGTGTTAGTGTCAGTGTGTGTGTAAGTGCAGGGCCGTCCCAGGCCGATCATGCAGGCTGCATGGGGCCTCACATTGCGCAGGGGGCCTCACGCAGGGGGCCTCGGCTTATGAGCTCGGCTTGTGCGCAGCTCTCTGCGCAAGAAGAGTGATAAACTGTCTGTCTAGTTGGCTTACATAACAGTTAAAGTTTACAGCCTAAAAAACATGGAGCATTTCTCCCCCTTTTATTCATTTTTATGTTAATTTTCACATTTCATGGTGATGCTCAGCCTCTCCCCTTAACTCCTAACAGTCATCATCATGTCAACCACAACACAGAGAAATACTGATAGAAATGTGTGTGTAGTTGTTGATACATTGCTGACAGAGGGAACATTTGAATACAGATTTAAGAAATATCAGTTTTTGTGCATGTAATAAGCATGTTGTCTTGACTATATTATAATAAAATAATATAGTATTTATATTATAATAAAATAATATAGTATTTATATTATAATAAAATAATATAGTATTTATATTATTGAATTGATTATGATTATTATTATTAGTAGAAGTAGTTTAACGCATACTGAACGACATACATGCACATTTACCATTTACCTCACGTTATATAAAAAAGTAACTGTTTTGATGATAATAATAATAAACAGGAATTATATTTGCAAAGTACGTTGTTTCCAAAAAAATTGTTTCACTCCTGTCGTTTGGGGGGGGGGGCTCATCTCACAATGTCGCTTGGGGCCCCAAGTTGGCCAGGGACGGCCCTGTGTAAGTGTGAGTGTGTGTGTGTGCCAGGCTGCAGCTGAACCACTCAGCCGTCCGGAGGTTTGAGGTGGGCGGAGCCTGAGAGCTGAGGTCCTCCCTTCCGCAGCGACACACCGTGCATTTCGGACTGAGCACCCGCACCCGTCCGAGGAGGGGAGACATCATGGCAGCCACTACTTGTACGCGTTTTACAGACGAATTCCAGCTTTACGAGGAGCTTGGCAAGTAAGCCGCTGTTTCCATTACGCTTTTTTCTGAGTCTCCTGCATGCAGCCTGACGCTGAGGGATGGAGCTCTGCACATCTGCGGGGATGGATGCGGCTCCATCCCTTCACAACAAAACGCACGCTGGTCCGGAGCTCTCCTATACATCTCCAAAAACCTTAAATTATGATGATATCTCAATGCATGACTTTTTTATTATTTATGTTTGACCTCAAAAGGCTTCTTTAAATGCAGGTATTTGGATTGTGCATGAGGATGGAGCTGAATGAGGGGACACTTCTGGGAACACCCCCCTCCCCCCCTCCTCCCCTCAGTGCCCAAGGGCTCAAATTAGGGACAAATAGGCCTAATATCAGGAAGGAGCTGATGTGTCGGTATTAAGCTGCCTCATCATCAGCTGGCTTTAATCACAGTGGCACCCAGCTTAGAGGAGAAGTCAGAGAATAGGACTGCTGCTGCCTCATCTGATAATCTAATGATCCTGTGATAAAGAAAGGAGAGAAATTGAGATATTTATTGATGTGTGGCCCCTAATAGCATGCAGACAAATTGAGAGAGACTGGAGAGGCGATGGGTGCCACAGTGGGTAGATGCAACGTGGACTCCATGTCTCTGTCAGGCTGTGCGTGGGTAGCGAGGATCTCTCTGCCTCACAGGAACATTTATTCCACAGCTCAGCGCCGGGTATACTTTCAGCTCCAGTGTGGACGCTTCAGTTTCTGCTTAGTGGTCTTTGGTGAAAGCTGAGATCTCTCTGTGTGTGTGTGTGTGTGTGTGTGTGTGTGTGTGTGTGTGTGTGTGTGTGTGTGTGTGTGTGTGTGTGTGTGTTGTGTGTGTGTGTGTGTGTGTGTGTGTGTGTGTGTGTGTGTGTGTGTGTGTGTGTGTGTGTGTGTGTGTGTGTGTGTGTGTTTCAGATGTGATAAGTTAAAGACAATGGAGATGCTGTAGTAGCAGCAGCTGCCCTCACTGATAACGGAACCTCATTACTGATTTTCTGGTGCTCTCCCTTTTTATTGTGTGTGTGTATGTGTGTGTGTTTGTGTAATGCAGATGTTAAGACAGAAGGATGTTGAGATAAGTGTTAAGAGTCAGGGTTTGGCGTTATGTTACAATTGAAGTAATAATTAGGCGATTTACCAAAAACCAATCAGCAACTATTTTTGGTTAATTGATTAATTAGTCATTTATTAAGAAAAAAGCTCTAGTTCCGCAGCTGACTAATTGTTAACATGTTCTGTGTTTCTTGAAGATACACAAATGGGTTACATGTACATTTGGAATATTTGGATTTGAATCAATATGGCAAATGTATTCTTACAACTCCACCAAGTCAGCGCTGCAATGTTTGTCAGACTCATTATTGACATTTATAACCTGCAAAACAATGGATATGTGTTGGTCACTTTGAGGCGAAAGAAGCAGCTTTACTGTTCTGGTTCACTCTCCCTGATCTCATAGCGTCACTTTGAGAGAAAAAGGACTAAAGAGCCTTTGTAATGCACACTACCTGCTCAGCAGCCATCAGCAGACAGACACACTGAGAGATTAAGGAGGAACATAGTGGAGCTTTTAGCCGCTAAAGAGACAGATAATTCACTCAGGAGTTGGTAGAGCTGCCATTACTCGGCTAATTGCTGAAGCTGTAATCTGCCAATCAAATTCAAAGCATCTTGAAGGATGTATTGAATCAATTGAGGCTTTGCTATCAAGATCTTTCAGCGACAATACGAGACGTAAAATAGTATGTTGCATAATTATAAATCAGATAGACTGACAATTATTAACATTATGCTATGACTCAAACTTGATATAATTATCCTAAATTACAGTACTCACTTGTCTTTGTCTTGAGATTTCAACCACATGTAACGGCTAAATTGTGAAATGAGAACAGCTTATTATTATATTAGTTTTCAAGATCAAACATAATCTTCCTCTCTCATCTCTGATAGATATCCTTTTTTTCTGGATATATTACACATATTCTCTTTCATTTATGGCCACCTGCATGTTTTGTCATTTACCAATAAAAAAGGCGTAAAGAGTCTAAATCAGAGGGTTGTTATAGTCTGATGCAGACCCTCCTGACTCCCACCTGCAGGTGACCTGTCATGCTGGAGCCCCCCTTTCTCTCCCAGCACACGGCAGGAGTGTTAGCGAGTGTCATGCTTAGTCACCCGGCCTCCTGATAATGTATTCACGTTGGAGTGCTGGTGAGAGGCAGGGGCTCTGAGGGGAGTGTGTTTCATTGCGTAACAATACTGAGGTGAGGTAAAATTAGCTCTGAGAAGTGACAGAGGTGGTTATTTCTGTTTGTCTCCTTTTGGTTTGATGAGGAAATGTGTCCCTAAAAACCCTCAAGAAAGCACACTTACAGTTCTTCTCCTCAGTGCTTCTTCTTCTTCTTCATGCTGTTTGATATTGCTCACCTCAAAGATTATTATATGTAAGTCTGAGTCATGAGGAAAAGAAGGATACTTTGACAACAGGGTGCACTGTTGAATGGATGTTAATAAGAGTTTCAACAGCAAAAGAAAGTACCTCACTGTATTTATGCTGCATATTTTTCTTGTATCATTGGGAAAGTTAATCTCAACCTGTCTGAATTTGGTTTTGGCATTTAACATTAACGTAAATTCAGCTCCGCTAATAGCCAAGTACAGTAGCTAACGTACATCGCAGCAAACATGACTTGTTAGCTTCTGATTTAGTCATATTTCTTTACATTTTAATCAGAATAAATATGTGAAAATTGAATTTCGAAAGCCTAGTGCCAAGCTAGGAAGAGATGCGTGTTGGCAGCCCATTATTGGCACAACATTGAATTTATGGAGCAGAGGCTTCCAGCTTTTACTTTCTGTTTTCTTTCTTGAAGTGGAGCGGCTGATTAGCATCACTGATCAGAACATAAAGCTTTCTGTTCAAACTGAACAGAATTTTAAGTTTTGTAGATTATAACCTTTATTTTTATTTTATAACCGGTTCCACACCTATTTCTTGGCAAGCTAGCATAAAATGAGAAATCCTGGACATGATTGTTGTGTAAAATGTGATTTTAAATTGCTTCTACAGCAATGGGGACTAGCAGTGGTGGAATTTAGGTACATTCACTTACTTATGTTAAGTACAATTTCGATGTACTTTTGCTATACTTGTGTATTTTCATGTTATGTTACTTTATAATTTTGTGGATTTTACTTTTGTATAGGTAGCTTCAGATTCAGATGGAAAGACAACTGATAAATGATGATGTTTTATTATACGTTAAGAAACATACTAGTAGTATATAATCAAATGGGTTCAACCTTTACCAGCTGCAACTGTGATGTACGTTTTGATGCCTTTTGTTCTTTTACTTAAGCAAACATTGAATTGAATGCAGGATTTGGACTTGTAACAGAGTATTTCTACAGTATAGTATTGACGAAAAAGATCTGAGTATTTATTCCACCACTGGCTTCTTTTCTACTGCTGCCTACAACCCAGATTCGTGTATGTCATGCATGCAGATCAGAGTGATTTGAAGGCAGAGAGAAGTCCAAGACAACTAGGAGGTCAATCTGATAGCCGAGATGCCTGTTTGATGCTGACAAAGCGTAAATGGCCGCTGACCCGTCGCTTCTTCTTGTCCCCTGTCTTTGTTTCCCAGGGGGGCCTTTTCAGTGGTGCGCCGCTGTGTCAAACTCTGTTCAGGCCAAGAGTATGCCGCCAAAATCATCAACACCAAAAAGCTCTCGGCCAGAGGTGAGAGGAAGTCATTAACAGAGCGCTAACATGTGTTGAGTTTTTTTTTCCAGTGGCTCGTAAAGGATATGAAGAAGCAGAGAGGAATGATGGGTGTTTTCGTACTGATTTGTATGTGTGTGTATGTCCTAGATCTAGCTCACATTCGCATATTTTAGCAAGTGTTTGATTCCAGTGTGTGAAGTCTCCACGTCTGTTCCTCCGAGAGAACGAGAGAAAAGGAAATAGAGATGCAGATAACAGTTTCAGTCGGATAAATCCACAACAGACAAACGATCTGAGCATTTAAGAGGACGTCAGAAATGTAATTACTCAGGATAAAATCTTGAGTTTTAACTTGATCTCTACATTATATTGTTGTGATGATTGTGACAGAATGTGCAAATAGTGTCTCTTTATAATGCTATTTGCAGCTATTTAGACGTTATGTCATCCTGTCTTTGTCTCCCATTATAATTCTGATCAAATACTATAAAAAAACGCCCCAGAAATCCTCTACAAATAGCAACAATGGTGTACAGAAAAGAAATGAGATTGCAGGTGGTAGCATCAGTCTCACACCACCTTTTTAATAAGCTTGTCTCTTGCCTCTCTGTTTCCTCCTTTGAGGTCAGATCACTCAATCATTTGAGTTTGTACATGATTGACACTGATCTGAGGTCTGTGTCTGACCTGCAGTAATCGCTGTAGAGCTGTCAATCAAATAGAAACCAGACAGAGGACACTTGGATCAAACTCATATAATATCAGCACTCCACTCAACCTGCCACCCTTCCTCCTTTTTCCTCAGTTTCCTTTCCTTTTCTCCTTTCCTTTCCTCTCCCCACTGTTACATTTGATTTGGCTTCCTCTCCTCTCCTCTGCTCTTTTCCTGCTGTACACCTACACACATGTTTTCCTCACTTGTTCCCTTGTTTCCTCCACTCCCATATATCCTCTCATATAAGTGTTGTTTCCTCATCTCTTGTCTTTCACCTCTCACCTTGTCACCTCAACTCCTCTTCCTCTTCTCCTCATTCCCTTTCTTCTACTATCAATGTTCCTTTATCTCATCTCATTTCATCCACCTCATACATTTCTTTTTTTGTTTCCATTGATATTATTTCCTCTTGCTGCCTTTTCTCCTAGAACTCTCATCATATCATCATTTCATCTCCTCTGATCTCTCCTCCTCTCCTTCCTCCTCTCCTCTCCTCTTTCTGGAATGAGAGGTTAAATGGGCATCTGGGACAAATGTAGCCCTGAGGCTGAGGGCATCTGTGTATGAAGGTCGTGTGTGTGTGTGTGTGTGTGTGTGTGTGTGTGTGTGTGTGTGTGTGTGTGTGTGTGTGTGTGTGTGTGTGTATGTGTGTGTGTGTGTGTGTGTGTGTGTGTGTGTGTGTGTGTGTGTGTGTGTGTGTGGTGTGCTGTGTTTTTCATCACCCTTGCCAGCCACCTTGAGAAAGTTACCTTTTCAATATCAGTATAAACTTAAAGTTAGTTTCATTACAATATAGAGTATTTGATATCATTGACACATTTGTAAAGAAACCATTTGCATCTGTAGTCTCTTGTAATGTCCGTTTGCAGATATCAATCTGAGATGTTTCTCTACATCCTAAAGTCTGCCTCTCTTGTAGATCATCAGAAACTGGAGAGAGAAGCCCGGATCTGCAGATTGCTCAAGCACTCCAACATCGGTAAGTATTCTATTTTAAGTGGTGCCTCAGATTAGTGGTTCTTGACCTTTTCTGACCTTATGACCCTTGAAAACAAAGCAAGACAAGATGGCTCTTGATAAATCACTGATCAATTAAATAAGTAAACTGCACATTCATTGTTTGTTTTGTCACTATCCTGCAATGGAAACTACTCAATTAAATAATTAGCTTCATTAGGAGTTTGTAAATAATACGTACAAGGAGGAGACTGATACAGTTATTTTCCCTTTTGTAAAAATAAGCTGGTATTAATACTTTTTGTATTATATTGTATTGGGACTAGTTTGCTTAACCTTGCTTTCTGAAAGACAAAAACATATTCAAACGGAAAAACAAACATTCTTCTCCCCTAAAGGAAGAACTACATAACACATAACATGACTCAGCTCTGCAATGCTGCTGCTTCTTTATTCAAACTTTTAGCAGCATCTTTGATCAGCACCATTCACCATTGGTCTGCATTTCCCCCTATGATCCAGGGACTTTGCCCAGTTGTGCATCACTACTTTTGGTCTTTGCATTGTTTTCTACTGCAAAGAAAAATCTAGAATCTCTCCATACTGTCCTTTGTGACGAAATGAACAAAGTCTGAGCATTTCATCAAAAGATAGGAAGATGAATCATTCCTAGAGAAAATGATATGATTATTTGATGCCTTAAAGGGGCCCTATTGTGCTTTTTGGGGTTTCTCTCTTTCCTGTAGTGGGTTTACAGGCAGTATGAGAAAAAGAAAGAGCTTTTTGAACATTAAAGCATGGAGACATGTCCCAGTAGAAACACCATTACTAATATGAAGGTGAAAACAGACATCATTTGTCCTCTTTAATCTTTAATGTCTATTTCTCTTTGCCTACTGCAGTTCGTCTCCATGACAGCATCTCAGAGGAAGGCTTCCACTATCTCCTCTTCGACCTGTGAGTTATTTCCTCTCTCCTTATGTCCTTCCTGCCTTCCTCCTCCCAGCCTCTTCTTCTTCTCTTTCTCTGCTGTACTGCTCTGCTCTCCCTCCTCCTCCTCCTCCTCCTTCCTCTCCCCTGGTGCTTCATGTTCCACTCCCTTCCTCTCATCCCTTGCTGCATCTGTCTCCTCTTTACTTATTTCTTTAAATCCGCATTCCTCGTTCTTCATCTTCTTCGTCTTCTTCTCCCCTCCTCATCCCCTCCTCATCCCCTCCTCGCTTCCAAGGCAGTTCCCCCCATTACATAACAGTCCACCGCTCCTCCCCTCCTCCCTACCTCCATCCTTGCGGCTTACACAAACAACACACACACACACACACACACACACACACACACACACACACACACACACACACACACACACACACACACACACACACACACACACACACACACACACACACACACACACACACACACACACACAAACTCCCCCGCACTGGAGCCAGTCTCCATGGCAACCCAGTCAGAGTGAATCCTGCAGCCGGGGTTTCCCCCTAATGAGGACATCCCCCTCCTGTGTGTGCTTGTGTGTGCATGTGTGCGTGTGTGTGTGTGTGCGTGTGTGTGTGTGTGTGTGTGTGTGTGTGTGTGTGTGTGTGTGTGTGTGTGTGTGTGTGTGTGTGTGTGTGTGTGTGTGTGTGTGTGTGTGTGTGTGTGTGTGTGTGTATGTGTGTGTGTGTGTGTGTGTGTGTGTGTGTGTGTGTGTGTGTGTGTGTGTGTGTGTGTATGTAATCTGCCGCTTTAACCGTATTCTTTACATTTCTCAGGGTGACAGGCGGGGAGCTTTTTGAGGACATTGTGGCGAGAGAGTACTACAGTGAAGCAGATGCCAGGTACACACCAAACACCCGACGACTCTCATGTCTCCCCCTGTCTCCCCCTCTTCCCCCCCTTCATGTGTCTCTGCCTCTGCAGTCCTCCCGCAGCCCTGAGATTTCGGCTCGACTTTCTTGTTGGTGTATTCAGTCTTCTAGTTCAGATGGATAATACCTCGATGCGCATTTTTCTGTGGACTGAATAGATATGGAGGTTGGAGTGTTTTCCCCAGAGTCCGAATTTACAGTCAGAGGGGAAACATACACATGCACAAAATGCACACACGCCCACGCCGCAACCCCCCCTCAGGAGGTAGACTTAAATCAATTTGACTGTGGAGGCGGTTTGTGGAGGCAACAGAGAGAAGGAGCGGAGGGGATGGAAATATTAAAAGGAGGAGAGAAAAAACGAGAGACTGAGAGATGCAGTAAAAAGAGGAAAAGATGTTGAGGCTCTTTTTACATAATAATAAAATCTCTCACTCCTCATCCGTCTTCTCCTTTTCATCACCCCATCTGTTGTCCTATGTAGGGCTTTAGAGTTCCTTTTTTTATGTAATACTGTCAACATCAACATGATGCAGCATAGGTTGTAGACCAGTATTCAAGCACATGATAATAACCACCAAACCTCCACGGGGAAAATGCATTTGCAAAGAACATCTCCGCCATCTCCGTTTAATTCATTTGACTAAATCATGTTTCAGTTTTTTAGTGGACTCCAGGGAATATCAGTCGAACAGGTGTTGGTTCATTTATTTTAAGAAGTGCCTTCAAAAAGGATAAAAAGCATAGTTTGGTTCAGTGCTTTTTTCCATGTCAATTATTCAGATCTTGTACTGTAGTAAAAGTCTGGCTTGTCGTGAAGTAGAAGTAGAAAGTAGCAAAACATTTAAATACTCAAGTAAAGTACTTCCAAATTGTACTTAATTACAGTACTTGGTAAATCTACTTAGATACTTTACTGCATAGAAAACATATGATGTGTTACTTTACCAGTGTGAATACACTTTAACACTACAGTTCAAAACCAAATTAGAAATAGTATTTATTGTTGGTACAAAACTCACAAATCCACAACGCAGGGAATTTTCAACTCTTTAATGAAAGCCTGAAATCAATTTAAGTGAATTGAAAGGATATTGAAGATAAAAAATGAAACGTAATTGATGTTTGATGAATTACACTGACACCAGGACTGTTGTTTGTATTCACCAGTTCACCATTCATCAGTGGTTACATACTACATTTCCAGTGTAAAAGTAGGGCACTATGCAACCACAATAACACAAGAGCCCTGATAATCATCTAAATTGTTTTCAGTATCTATGTTTTCTCCTCTGTACTCTACATTCCTGATTATTTTCTTTTTGCCCCTCTCATCTTCCTTGTTTCTTTGCATAAATTACATGTGTGTTTGTGTGTGTGTCACTCAATGTGTTTGTGTGTGGGTGTGTGATTCGCATGGCAGTATCTCACTGACAGTTTCCTCTCTGTACTCCATCTGCACCCCGTCACTCCGTCCCTTCCCTCCTTTCTCCACCCCGTTAAAGGGCAGGTTCACCCAAATGACATAAAACATATTTTCTCACGGTTAATATCGCGCCATATGGAGAGTGCTGGTCTTATGCGTCCAGGTTTTGAGATGTGTGTCCCTTAGATGTCTGCCTGCATGCCAATACTGTGGAGGAGTGTGTTGTTTAGTCTGTGCGACTCACAGCAATAAAACAACGTTTCTTAGCACTGGCAGCAGTGTGTCTTTCCACATTAGTGTCCCAATTATTCGGGATAATCCCAAGGGACTATTTATTCAGTGTTAAGTAGTTACAATAAAACTGTTGACGGTGAAGTCTGTGGATTATCGAGAGTAGCAGGCACCTGCTGAGTTGAGTATTTAGCAAAAGCAGCTCGAGATAATGTCGATAATTTACTTGGTTAAGACTTAATCAGATGAATAACCATAAACATGTCTGTACATGTTCAAAACCTACTAACTTGGGATCACCTGACTTTTAGCCACAATGAGGTTGTCTTTCTTGGTTTCTTGGTTTGGAGGAAACGATTTAAAAGATTGCCGTGACATTTCGTTCAGACATCCTCAGCATGAGTTATACATCTTTGATGGTACTTTAACTTCATGCCAGGTCACAATTAAAATTTGATTTGGTATAAATGAAGTAGTAGTATAAACAAGTAGAAAATGACATTCATTCCCATCAGCCTCAGCTGCACCTAGTGTTGCGTGCTAATTACAATAGTTAGCATAGTGAAGATGGTTTATATTTACTTTGAAAGACATAGCATTTGTCATTGAAGTGCTTCAACTGCAGTCATACAGAAACTAGTTGAAATGTGATGATTCCAAGGATGAGTCAAATCTGATGGGAAATAAACCTGTACTGTATCCGGACAAGATATTAAAAGCAGGCATTAGAAAAGAGTTGCATGCTGCCAATGCTTGGTGCCATGTTGAGAAAATTCTCTCAAATCTTCGTAAAACTACATCTAAACAATCTGAATAAGATATCTGTGTTATTTTGGTGAACTGACCGTATAAATGTCTGTTCCTGAAAACAACCTCCTGCTGTCAGATGTTCCCTGCTCTTCTCTGTTTAACTGTGCTTCCTTTCCTTCCTGTGTTCCCTCCTATCTGCTCCTCACCCTGTTGTTTTGTCTCCGCAGTCACTGTATCCATCAGATCTTAGACAGTGTGTCTTACACCCACCAACATGAAATAGTGCACAGGGACCTCAAGGTGTGTGTGTGCGCGCGTGTCTCATTGTGTAAGGGTTGCCTCCATGCTTGTGTTATTCCTGCCTGTGATTTTCAAATGCCTGTGCCTGCTGTCTGACTCTTATTGCGCGTCTGCCCGTCTCCAGGTTTTTTTGCTTTGGGACTCTTGTTGCACTATTTAAGACGGCCTGAACTAGAATTGTGATCTCCTGTGGGCTCAAGCAGGGAGAGAGAGAGAGAGAGAGGGAGAGAGAGAGAGGAGAGGAGAGGGAGAGAGAGAGAGAGGAGAGAGAGAGAGAGAGAGAGAGAGAGAGATGAGAGAGAGATAGAGAGAGAGATAGAGGAGACTATCGGATAGATCTAGCGAGAGCCTCTATAGTCCTCTCTCGCTCTCTATCTCTCTCTGGCGAAGAGAGAGAGAGAGAGAGAGAGAGAGAGAGTGAAAGCAGCAGTGTCAGCGGTGAACTTCAAATGCTCGGAAACCTGCTTACATGTTTTGTCAAAGGCACTGATCCTGAATAAATGACACAGGGAAATGTGCAGGTTAGACACAGTGCCTCCCACATGGCGCCGCAGCTCACTCCCACACTGCCTGACTAATGTTTGGCTCTCCCTTGAACAACAGAAAATAGATAACTGCACACCTTCTCCCTCAGACAGACACTCTTCTCACATTCCCTTTTTTTGGGTGGTGTGAATGTGCAGTGAGTGTGTGAGAGAGATTGTGATATTGTGTGTGTGTGTGTGTGTGGCTTGTATTGAGATGTGGCTGCCCCTGCATGGATATGACAGTTGGGGGGAGTGAATGTGCTCAGACTAACCTGCTCCCCCTGCTGTTTGCGTGCAGTCATTGCATCCAGCAGATCGTGGAGGCCGTGCTCCACTGCCATCAAATGGGGGTGGTACACAGAGACCTCAAGGTGAGTGTGTGTGTGTGTCTATAAGTGTCTGTGTCTGTGTGTGTGTCTGCGTGTGTGTGTGTGTGTGTGTGTTGAGAGTCATTTGAAGTTGTATTTGTCTGCGTCTCACTGTTGTACCAGACTCTGAAAGCTGGTAAGTGCAGTATTTAAACCTAGCATGTTCGTGCATGTCTCTGCATGTGTTTGTGCCTTTCCTGTGTGTCAGAAACTAATGTCTGTGCATGCGTTTAAGTGTCGATACTGTGTCGATTTTATTAAGGTAATGTTTTGAATTGAAATTTAAGTGAAAGAGCAACCTAACAGCAGCTGAAAACCTTGTTTTTTACTCCATATGTTGAAGCTCTCACCTTACTGCAGTGATGTAGAAGTGCACTTCAGGGTGTGTCGGTACACCGTGACATCACTGTCGGGCGTGGTTACAGGTGCATCAGACTTGAAAATGTGGCTTCTCTGCCTGCTGTTAAGTTGTTCTCGAGGTTCATTGAATTTCTCCAAGTCACAGGCATGATATAGCAAGATAAGATAAGATAAGATTTACTTTATTGATCCCAAATTGGGAAATGTTTTCGTTGAAGCAGCATGTAAGACAAAGTATTGCACATCATTATAAATAAAAATAAAATAATTATACAATATAAATGTCTAAAAATAGAAGATGAAACAGAACTGAAAAGGTGTAAATATAAAGGTTGACCGTGAATATAAAAAGCTGTAAACTATCTGACAAATAAAATACTATAGGGCCAATTTACAGCTAACACAATATAAGAGTAGGATATTATTTACATTTAGTGTGCAAGAATGGCATATTAAATTAAATATATAACATGTGCAGTAGTGCTAATTACATTCAATCTTAATAATAAATATACATTTCAAGTTTTATTTGTAGATTTGAAAAGTTCCCCTCAACAGGACACATGTCTTTTGACTGACTTAATCAAGAACACATGCTGTGATTTTACACAAATTAATTTGTAATTGCTCTGAACAACATAAACAAATATAACAACACATAAATGAAGATATATTACTGAATAACACACTCATACCTACTGTAGGGTGTTTGTAAGCAGATATGAGTTATTTAAGTGATATCTTTGTTCACATTAAATAAATAAGATAAGATCAACCTTTATTTAGCAGCAACATAACTAAGAGGATATTCATGAAAACAAAGGATAGCACATGTAAGAGGTCACACAAGAATACATACATGTATAAAAGATTTTTTTTTTAAAGAATGAGATGAACAGTATATAATAAAATATCAATACTAGAATTAGGTTAGCTGTTTACATTTGTAAAAATATGAATAACTTAGAATATGAAAACATATATAACAGCCTCTGTGCAATCGTAAGTGTTTTCCAATCTCTAAAAAGGGGGCACATTTAAAAAAAGAATGCAAAACAACAAGGTTATTCTAATTGTAAGGCTTTACTGTTCATATAATAATATATGAATGTTTTATGAGACATGCTCCCTCTCCATACTGGCCTCGGCTCACATGTTGTTATTGCATTGAGACTCTTTGGGGAGCTCCACAATGACTTTACCTACTGAAGTGTATTAAAGGTTTCCCACTCAAAGGAGGCTACACAGGGAAGGTTGTGCTGTGATGATTTCCCTCGTGCAGTTAAAGGAAGAGAGATGTTGTCGTAGTTGTTGTTCTCTCACTAGTTGTTCATGAAACAGGGCTGAAAGTTATTCATATCAACTTACCTGAAAAGACAATGACACTTCATATCCAGAGATTGATATTCATGTTCTGTATGTTAGTGTATTCCTTTTAAATACAGAAACAGAAAGGAAAGATGTAGGCTATACTGTCTCCTTCTTACGGCATGGGAATTATTTTGTTCCCTAATTAAATGAATTGTGCAGCTCGCAGTCTTTGTAGAAAGGAAAAGAAAAGAGCAAAAATACCGTGTCCTTTTTCTTGTCACTCTCTGACTCTTCAGAGTTGAAACACAAATGTCAACTCGTTCCAGCTGGAGCCCTTTACTTTTTACAAAGTCATTTGAAGTGGTTTTAAAAGTCAGTCATCTTTTGAGAATAGCCAAGATGAGAGCTGCAACAAGAAGCAATTAACCCATTAGTGGATTGTCTGAAGTGAATTAGACTCATCGACTCATTATGAGGTCATTTCTTTACATGTGTCCCAAAGTGGCATACACCCTGACAAAGAAGGACTGTCATATCTTTCACGAATGGATATTTCAATATGTTGTGCTGAGAGGTGATGTACATCTTTTCATGTGACATGATTTGATTACATAAGGAGCTTCCCCTTCCTCTCTAGCAGTCAAGTTTTTTTTAATCCTCCAGCAGAGGGTGACATGATGAACGCCCTGCAGCTGGAGCACAACATCCAGCTGTTTCTGTGGAGGACTGATTATTAAGAAATGGCACAAATCAATCACTGTCAACATTAACTGGTTATCAAAACACGGAGCTGTGTGTGTGCTGTGTTGTTTGTCAGATTGCTTTTACGTCGGCGTCAGAGCAGGAACGACTAAAAGACAAGCTGTACTTGGTCTTCCTCAAGTAAACAAATGGAAAAACAAGGCTTATACAATGTTTTGAAGTCCCATCTGTCAGTCTCAGCCTCGGAGTGTTTGTGGGTTTTAGAGTATGTGAAAGTGTTGCTATGAATTTGTGTAAGCGGCATCTTTAGTTATTCTTAGTCCTCTGATCTGGATTTAATTGGTTGCATCCGAGTGGTTTGTCACACTTTCAATTCTGCTTTTCTCATATGAAAATGGTAGAGCAGAACCAACCAATGAAGTGACACATTTCTGTTGGAAATCAATCAGACATCTACAAAAGAAAAGCCACACAGAAGTTTAAAACAACTCAAACCAGCACAAACACACAACACTAAAACTACCAGATACAGAATAACAATAAGAGGCTAAAAAACCACAAAGACAAGCTCATTTCCTACAGACCCAAAATGACCACAAAGACTTCCAAAAAAATGACATTGAGACAATAAAACAACTACATAAGATGTAAACAAAATGACTGCAAAAAACACAAAACTACCACGCAAAAAAAGTGTTGTGTCTCTTTCAGTCAGACTTGCTTGCTCCTGTGTGGGAGGAATTACAAATAACAGCTATTCTTTGGCATCCATTTATCTCACTGAATAAGGACTCTTCTTTTGTCTTGTTGCTTTCTTCTGGAACTTCACAGATTTAGAAGGTGTTGGGATGATGTTTTTAAGAAATGTGATTTGTAAAATGAGAGTTTTACTGACGTGACTGTGTTCTCGTGCAGCCGGAGAACCTGCTGCTGGCCAGCAAGTGTAAGAACGCTGCGGTGAAGCTGGCTGACTTTGGACTGGCTATCGAGGTTCAAGGAGAGCAGCAGGCGTGGTTTGGTATGTAACACACACAACACTCACAACACACACACAACACACACAACACACACATCTGCAGTGTGCTCATGTGGACTTAGTTACTTTTAAACATTCAAAAAGTCAAACTGAAGAAGTTGTTTTAAATAATGGTTCTGTGAGTTCAAACAGAGTCCGACTAAAAGCAGCTTCTAGATGCTGTAAGTTAAGCCTTCTGAATTAAAAGATCACATTGAGTTTGGTAGCTGATTAAGATCATCCTAACACAATGAATTTGAAAAAGTAGAATATAAATTGTTAGGGTTAGATATAGTGGAGCAGAAGGATAAAGTATTATTCGTTTTTCGTTTTTTTGTATTATGTCATGACCCAAAGGTTTACCACCACTATTATGTAGTCATATTATTTTTACATTTATTTAATATATATGTATTTTTCTATATACAAATTGTGTTTAGTGGCATTTAGGTGGAGGCTTCAAATAAGCCCAGTGGGTTTTCTGGATGTTCCTGCACTGTATCCATTGCTATATTTGTTATGTTTGTATTTCAAATGGTGCAAATAAACTTAAATTAAATAAACAGAAATAAATACCTTAGTGAAATACCCCAAAAGTACTCTACTTGAGTAAATGTACTTGAGTTTCGTATCACCAAAACAAGAATCTTGACCCAAACTCTTTTTTCCTAAAGCTTGTTAACTAAAACATGATCATGAAGAGCATCTTGTGCGTCCTCCAACACTTTTCTAAAGACATTCTTAATAACATGAAATGAATCATAGATGAACAAGTACCTGCTACCCACAGATGGTAGAATGGAGAATCACAGACAGTGCAGTATTTCTCTTAAAAGAAAATCTGCAATAACATCTGCTGGTCTGTGTCCCTCCTCTTCCTCCTGTGATGAAGGTCTGTGTTGCTGACAGCTCTGATGTGTCGCAGCGCTGTCACTCTGAAGACAGCAAAGAGAAGTGTAGGCTTCCTCGGGAACATTCATCCATACCGTCTTGTTATCCTTTTTGTCAGCGTGGCCTCCGGTCTATAAACAAGAAGGGATTTCTGCCTCCTCTTTCTCTAATATTAGACTTATCCGGTCTGACTGACAGGACACTTGTATTCATCTTTCTGTGTACTTTCTATATTTGTACTTTAGATTTAGAAAGCTAACAAGGATAATGACACATGGATTTCAGCCAGATTTATTAAAGTGCATTAAGTGACTTTTGTACCTACTTGGAGACAGAGCCAATATGAGGATCAATAGCCAAAAGCTCTGACTTTTCATGAAGCTACATTTCATAATGTACTTAGTGCGGTGATTTTAAGACTGTGTGTAAATTATGCTGCCTCAAAAATCCTCAACATGGCACAAAAAAGGACCAGCTTTTAGTTATTATTCACTACACAATAAACACTCAAATGTAAAGTCTTTAGTGAGTAGTAAATTGAGATTATGGAGTTTGTACATTGGACATGATTCATCACCATTTTGCTCCGTCACTGACAGGTATGGTGTCGCATCAGTTTACATATTTAGCGAGGCCCCTTTATGCTGTGTGAAATTCCACAAATGGCTTACTTAGAGCTTTGACAACTAGAACCTGCTTGCATTAAATTCTCCCAATGTCACTGCTGCTGCGACCTATATCTACATGTTACAGTTAACCAGGCGTTCAGCACACCATGTGACATCTAAACTGAAGTTCAGTTTGACACAGATTATCTGAACCCTTCATCAAAAATTAAACCAAACCTCAACACGGTCAGCCCTGAATAAGTATTGCTTGTACAGATTGTCATTTGCAACCAGTAAGCCATCAAAAACCAAATGTTTTCTCCTTTAAAGTGGACCTATCATGCTATATTTGAGTAATATAGTATAGGACCATACCTATATAAGGCATATTTATACTTTTTTTTTTTCAAAATACCAAACAGATCATGCATTTTAGCCATGCCTCATTTTGCTCAATTTGACATTTTTTAGCTCTGTTTTTGCAAGGGCTGATTCTGTGAGAACAGCACCATCTACAGGCCTGGCATATGTACTACAGCGTCTCCAGCGCTTTCGAACGGCAATGGCCGTGGCTGTCTCCTCCTGATTGGTGGAGTTGGCCCAATAGCCGTAGCGCCACTGTCCTGACGTCAGGACAGTGTTCAAATCTGGATCAGTTTGTATCAGATCCGTTGCAGCCCCTTTTTTAGAGATTTGGGTATGGAGGAAAATAGAGAGGGTTGTGTTTTCTGACACTTGGTGAGTTCCCTGGAACACCGGGGACACATATTCATGTATAAAAGACGTACAAAAGTGCATTTTGCATGATAGGTCCCCTTTAAAAACCATCAAACAGCTCCATAAAACCATCTCAGATATCAAAGGGCTACAGTGAAGGGCTGCTGGAGCCTATATGATATCAAATCAAACAGGAAATGGTTAATTATTCAGTATTTATAATGCATTGTATAACGATTGGTTGATGTTTTCAGCACCGTGGACAGCTACATCAAGACTGTGCAGATAAACAAGTCCTCCAAACAACAACAACAACATAATGCTGTTGGTTTTTTATGTTTGTTTCGCAAGACAACATTTCATTGTCTGGGACTTCCTTTCATGACGTGACAATTTAAGTTCGATTGAGGCACACACATAACTTGGTTAAGTTTAGCTTAACTTTAAGGTTAAAATGACAACTCTGTTACAATAACAAACATATGGTTACGTTTGGGGACAATCGTGGTCATGTTTTTGTTTTAAAAGCAAGAGGTTAAGTGATGGTTTGAAACTGGAAACAAACAAACCCTGAGTTTTGGTTAATAGAAATCCAAGTAAAAATGTGTTGTAACTAAACCCTGATGTGTGTGTGTTTGTGTTTGTGTTGCAGGTTTTGCAGGGACTCCCGGCTACTTGTCCCCAGAGGTGCTGAGGAAGGAGGCGTATGGTAAACCAGTAGACATCTGGGCATGTGGTGAGCTCTTTGTTTATGTGTTTCTAACCGCCACCTCCTCGCTTTCCTTCTCGTCACTCAGACAAAGGTTGTGTTTTCGCTGTGTAGGTGTGATCCTCTACATCCTTTTGGTTGGATACCCTCCGTTCTGGGATGAGGACCAGCACAAACTCTACCAGCAGATCAAAGCCGGAGCGTACGATGTGAGCCTGCCTCTGTTTCTCTCACTGTAAATCCAACATTATGTTGCTCATATCTAACATAATGTGGACATGCATTGGTGTGTGTGTTTAGTTTCCCTCCCCAGAGTGGGACACTGTGACTCCGGAGGCTAAAAATCTGATCAACCAGATGCTGACTATCAACCCAGCCAAGAGAATCACTGCCCAGGAGGCTCTGAAGCACCCGTGGGTCTGCGTAAGTACAGAGAGAAAGATACCTCAAGCAACAGTTCAACAAGATAAAGAAGATTTAAATGAAAACATGTCGATGCCTCTAACAAGCTCTTTTAGAGTTATTCTTTAAACTACATTGCTGAATGTTATTGCAATAGAAATATAAAATTAGCACTTTTTGAAATAGATCAGGTAATCAGCTCAACATTCAAAAGAGAAATCACACGTTCAAAAATGATTGAGGGAAACTGGCAGCTCCATGCTGCTTCTATTGGCTAGCACTCCAACACATTGTACATGATAGGCTAAGGGGCGGGACATCTCCAAGCTGTTGATCAACCACAACAGAGCTATCCAGCTAACCAATCAGAGCAGACTGGGCTCTGGTTTCAGACAGAGGGTCGCAGTATGAGACAAATAAAGAGCTTTTTGAACATTAAAGCCTGGAGACATGTCACTGTAGAGACACTACATGTCCCTGTAGAGACACTACATGTCCCTGTAGAGACACTACATGTCCCTGTAGAGACACTACATGTCCCTGTAGAGACACTACATGCTGATATCAACCTGAAAATGAGCGTGATATTGCCTGTTTAAAATGTAAACAATACATTTGGTGTCTGAATTGCACTCTTTCTATTTCTGTTACGTACTATTCAAGCAAAGAAGAAAAGTATACTACACACTCTGTTACTGTAGACTAGAATCTTTCATGGCCGCTGTTTCACACTCACACAAATGTGTAATTTATAAATCCTCCAAAAGCAAGTTTATGAACATCCGTCCCAAGCTGCCAAATATCAGCACCATCTGTTTCAAAACATGCAATCTCTCATATTTGCAGATTCTGGGTCAGCTTATCTTGAAACATGTTGTACCCAGGAGGGCAAGAAGAGCAACCTATCTCAGGGATAAGCACTTCTGTTTGCTCTTCATCTTGAAAAGTATCAGGATCATCAGCTTTTGGAGACACCCGGGAGACTCTAATATGTGCAGTTAAAGTCTAGGAAGAGAAAATACGAGTTTTTCCAGACTTTTTCCACATTTATATAACAACCAGCTGTGTTTTTAAACGCTATGCAAGTGTCTCCACTCACCCGTGATCAATCCTATAACAGTCAACAACTTGAATGTATTTACAGTCTGTCTTCATGCCAAAGCCAGGTGTATCTAAAGAGGCACCGCAGGCAGTTTGAAAATACCCCTACACGATTTTGCCAGAAAGCCGTCCCCTAAAGAGCTTCAGAACCAACAGATTTCAGGGAAGCGAGTGTCTCCGACAGCTCCTGCCCACATAAACCTGTCACTGTCGGAGCTGCTCCTGTAATGTTTTATTTTCAGCATCTGTTCCTCTCTTGTGTCCTCACAGCAACGCTCCACAGTGGCCTCTATGATGCACAGACAGGAGACCGTCGAGTGCCTGAAGAAGTTTAACGCCAGGAGGAAACTCAAGGTGTGAACATGCTCCATGATTCTCTCAAACATGTCTTTCCCTTCTCTGCATCTTCCTCTGTTTACCAAATAACATCACTCAATCCTGAATCTATAAATCCTCCGAAAGTTCGTTTCCCATCTTATATCTACCTAAAGCCCCTTTCAGATATGGAACATGCATCATTACTGGTTTATTCGGTCTGGTAAAGTGACAGCTTCCTCTCATTCGGACTTTTACATTGATGTTTTATTCGGAGATCACATTTACAAAAAGAAAATAAGTGCTCCTGCGATATTTGGCACCTCACGCGCTCAGAGAGAGATCTTGTCATTCTGTCATCATCTATTTTGGTCTCTAGTGGAAAATGTAATTTAACCCTGGCAATAATGTAAGTTTAATTGGGTGAGAGAGAGAACAGAGATGAGTTATACTGTCATGTTATGACAGTGAGGAAGAGGAGTGTTTCCTGTCATCTTTTGAAACTTATTTTGACGCTTTAAGAATCATTATCACGAGTGACGCATCACTGAGACATTTGCACATCAGCTTCATAATTAAATGTTATCATACAGTAGAGGGAATTTAGCTTTCTTTCCTGCTGTCTTTTTAAAGCAATGAATGGCAGGAGGTTACATTTTCATTATTGTTTAATGCTTAATAGTTCAAATTGTGGGAAGCCTCCTGGAAATGTATTTGTTCATTCATATTGTTTGAATAAAGGAAAATTGAAAACACTAGGAGTCACCAGGTGAAGATGGAGAATAAGCTCCAGCAGATGTGGAGAGAAACGAGCCTCCATTTGAATTTTCTTTTTGCAGATGTTCAGAAAAGTTGGTTACAATTGCACTACATTTTAGTTTTGGGCCATGTTGGTTGTACAAACGCTTTTTAATCATCGTCTCCCCTGTTCCCACAGCGAGGGCATGAATGACTGTAATTAGCTGATATGACAGTAATCTCCCCATCGACAGAATACAATTGTCTCTTTCATAGTGTTTCATGGGTAATTCAATTGATTTCATGACATTTATGCATAACGAATGAAGATTAAGAAAACACAATGGCCATTTTTCTCTGTTTGCATATTTGACGTCATGCTTCTGCAGCATTTCATTCAAAAGAGATTCAAAAAAATGCTACAAGTCAGACCTGAGAGAGTGCTTTTGTCACTTTGAAAAGTGCTTATTTATACACAACATTTTAAATTGCCATATTATCATAAAGGGATTGCATGTCTGAAAGAGTGTCCCTCATTTTTATTTAACCCTCGTCTCCTCCTCTTCCTCCGCAGGGGGCCATTTTGACCACCATGCTCGTCTCCAGGAACTTCTCTGGTGAGTGCAGCTCCCTGAGCAGGAGAGAGGGGGGGGGGGGGGGCAGGCTGACATGCCATCTGTCTTCTGCCATCTCTTCACACACACACACACACACACACACACACACACACACACACACACACACACACACACACACACACACACACACACACACACACACACACACACACACACGCTTACAGCAGGTTGATGGGCGGCAGTGTTAGAGTAAGCAGGAAACTCAGCAGAGATATTTACTCGGTTTTAATGTCCGTAATCTCACACAGTATAACTTGTTTGTCTGATGTCTTAAATGCAGTCTGAGTTTGATTCTGTTTGGTGACATCCGATCAATCACGAAGTACAGAAGTAATAAAACATTTCTCTCTACACAACTTATCATATTCAATGTCACACGTAATGAGATCCCGCTTTATTGTGAGGGGGCCTGTGTGGTGGGTTTATTGCCGCTGTAGAGGAATGACTCTTGCTGTAATTTTTCCACCGGCGCTAACCAGGCTTCCAAATGGTTTATTCACAATAAAAACACATCAGCATTAATCTTCATAACCTACCATGTGTAATTACAGTATGTAAAGTGCTCTCCTGGTATGCGATTACATGACCTAGATGTTATTCATAGTAACTATATTGCTGCTTATACACAAGAAATATGAACATGTAATGGTCAGAATGTGATGGCTTGAAGAGCTCATTAATAATCCCTAGATTATCACATATTTGATAGTTTTTGTTTATGTTTGCAAGATAGAAATACCAGCTAGTTCCCCACCAAGAACAATGCAAAGAGATGATATTTATCCTTAACCACAGGAATGTTTTTTGAACATAAAAACACATCATAACTCCTTTTTTTAATCAGATCCTTTAGATTTGTTCGTCAAATACTTTTTGAAAGATGTATGTACTTTTACAGTTTAAATACTTTCTTGTTAACAAACTGTATACAAAATAAATACAATTGGCACCATCTTTACCAATTTCAAAGTAATAAACACATTATTGCATCAATCATGTTAATTCAATTCTATCATATATTTGATCCTGAAATTCTTTGTGTCCTTTTACTTTTTGCTACTTGATACACTTTGATGCTAACTACTTATAAAGCAGTACTTGTAAAATAGTATTTCTACATTGTTGTGTTTATACTTTTACTTAAGTTAAAGTACCACTGTCTTTGTGGGGGAAACTGTTTCTTAAACACATTTCTGTCACCTAAAAGCAAACCTGTACACTGTAATGTAAACATATTTGAAGAGCTTACAGCAGTTGATGATATCAGCTGTTACACAGTAGACTATAGAAACAGTGAAGCCTGACCAGTGTATCTTTGAACCTAACCCAATCAGAGGAGCCTTATAACAGGAATGACATAACACACACTCTAATACATCCATCTGTTTACTTTACCCTGTGGAAGTCTACTGTTGGAAGAATAACACCACAATGGACAGATGGACTATTTTATGTAAAGAATATCCATATTACGCAATGCACTATTCTTCAAAGAGGTTTTCCTTTATTTGATGAAATACATCTACTAACAAGTATTGTGTGTTTATCAAAGCCATTTACATCTTCTTAATCTGTGCCATAGAGCTCCATTTGTTGTCCAAAGAACTATCAAAATACACCAATTAGCACCCCTGTTGCACTGGGCGACATGTTTGTTCATTACTGTGAACACAAACATTCAACTTAATCCCACACACACCACCCTGCTGCTCATTATTGTCCCCAACAAATGTACTTTGTACTCCTGTTAAAAACTACAGGGGCCAGATCTTTAAGGAAACAACTGAGATTTATTTTAAAACGTGTTTTTAAAGATTTACATCTCCAATAAGAACAAATTATTCTTGCTATCTTTATTCTGAAAAGAAAAGCACTATCAAAGAATAGCTACTACATATTTTTACTTTTCCTGTTTATATAAATTGTATTTAGTCTTTTATCAGACATTTTACTTCTTATGTTTATCTAATACCTTTATATATATATATTTATATATAAATATATATCTGTGTATCTATTTTTAATTATATATTTATTTTATATTTACTTCGCACATGTTACTTTAACTTTTATGTTTATTATATACATGTTTTTATTTTTGAATGTATCTTTTATTCTATTTATTATGTCTTTTATTGAAAATGTTACTTCTTATGTTTACATAAATATATATATTTTTGTATTTAATCGTTTTTTGGACATTTAACTTTTATTTGTGTATATACATTATTTAATTTTATTTAGTCTTTTATTGGACATTTGACTTCTTATGATTATATTTCCTTCACACATTTTAATTTAACTTTTTATGTTTAGATACAGGTTTTTATTTTTTATTGTATCTTTTATTTTATTCTGTCAAAAATGAAATGTCCTTGGAAAATAAAGCATTCTGGATCTCATTCTGATTCACTCCATTAACCAATATATACTGTACTTCCTCCCCCTCTCCCTTCCTCTCTGTGTTCCAGTGGGCCGGCAGACTACAGCCCCCGCCTCCGTCAGCAATGTGCCCGGGACCACCGCTGGCATCGTGGAGCAAGGTACTGTAAACCCATCTCAACTGTACCCTTACTCACTACTCTTTTCTTTCTTTCTCTCCTCTCCTAAAACTTCCCATCCTTCCCTTTCCCTGAACTCGGACATGATTACATGGAAATCCCCCCAGAGTCACAACATCACACACGAACCCTCAGCTTGTTTTAATCTCTCCTCCTAAATCCTTTTTCCTTCCTCTAATGCTTCTCCAACGTCTGCCAAGGTACGCATCCACATCTCTTATCTGGAAGCAGAGAGTATTACTGTTCAGATATCTTTGCTTATCATGGGTTGTGCAATACAGTCACATGTCCTGAGGGGAATTAGGAGACAAATAGCATGTGTGTGTGCGGTAGCTTGAATGTAGCTGTGTTTGCAGAAAGGGATGCATTTGTCTGAGGTGCAAAGGGAAAAGTTAAGGATGTTTTTTGTGTCTTAAATCATTCATAAACAGCATCAAAACACTTGACAGCTTCTGCGTGTTTATTTCTGACCTGATATACCGCTTTATTAAAGTGTCATTTATAATTCCTGACCATAAATGACCTCTGCCGTTATTCATACTAATCCAGCGTACTCTTGAGATTAACAAACCCATTATCACATACCTGCATCTCCATCCCACTTCCCAGCGTGCTTTCATCCTAATCTCCCCCCTCTATCTGTAGCTGTGCGTGCGTGCGTGTATTTGGATTATATGGAGAATTAGTTTGACTTTTTCCCCCCGTCATGATGCCCTCTGCTTATCTAACGCGTTGGGCAATGGATCAGGGTTAGGAGGTGCCAGTTGGATGGTGGTTTTTTAAAGTGTGTGTTTATTCGTTGGGTTTTTAATGTCTTTTTACAGGACGGAGGGAGGGTTTTCTTTTTTTGTTTAGAGGGAGGGATACATTCTGTACGGTGTGGCTTTTTGTCTTTCCCTTAAGGGTGGAGAAGGGGAGGACATGTGGACAGACAAGCCTTGTCACTCTGTTTGTGGTCTGCATGTTCAGTTTTGAGTGGTTCACTTTAGCCAGTGCATGCATCAGCGTGCATCTGCAGCTGTGTGTGAGTGAGCAGATCCAGAGAGCTGTGTCATCTGAAGGTGTATGATGTGTACTCTCCCATCTGAGGGTGTGTCCTTCTGCCTCTCTGCAGCAGCCAAGAGTCTCCTCAACAAGAAGACTGATGTCAAGGTAAGCTTCTCTTCTCTTACCTCACTGCTTTTTACTCGCTTCGTTCCCTCTGTGCAATCCTTTTTCTGCCCGCTGTTCGGACGCCCTTCACGCTCAGAACTACTTTTATTATTCTATAAATATTTCGTCCAAAGGCAGATGCGTACGAGGTGATTTGACTTTGTCAAGTGCTGCAGCGTTCACTTTAATATTTTTTCAAGACAGTGTTTTCAGCCTTAAAGGCACAGGGTAAGCAGATGCTGTTTGTCATTCACTGCCCGACCTGTTCTGTCATTCCTTCATGTTACTCAGAGAGGCATCGTTACCTTCATTGTTTTTATTTATTCAACTTTTATTTAGCCAGGAGCCGTCTCATTGAGATTAAAAATCCTCTTTGTGTATTTACCTCATGACTTTCAGTAAATATGAATATTTTATGGATCTCAGAAAGTGTAGCTTTTTAAAGCAATCCTGATAAATAAATAAGTAATTAAACTTGCTGAAGAACCAGATTAGTATAGAGTATTATTTATGTAGTTACCGGTATCTCCATCAAATACAATAGTTAACATCTTTTATTTAAAATAGTCTATTACAAAAATATTAAGTGTTAGAATACATGTAGAATAATAGAAAATAAGAGCCAATGGCAATGTTTGGAATTTCAAAATGTACCTTTTCTTCTTAAAGATGAGTAATATTTCAAAAAGAATATAATAATAATAATTCTATTGAAAAACACCATAGAACAATATGTCAGTCAGACAACACTCACGAAAACACAATTTAAGATACAACAATATCCAATTATTGAATATTGTAAAATGCTCTGAAATGGATGTCATTTCTATCAAAACCTCCTGTTAACATTGTGTGTAGCAACACTCTTTGAAACGTTACTTATTGCACTTAACTGTCATTCAAAAACATCACAAAAGTCACTTTAAGTGTAAAACTATGAAACTCAAACTTAAAGAAAAAAGGACACTTTCTGACGTAAAATCTCACTTTAGGAATATAAACATGACACAGACTTTTATTTTGAAGGCTGTCTCCTCTCACTTCCGACGCTCACTTCTCTCTAACTGGTTTGATGGAGCTGCGTTTCCTCCTCTCCGCTCTCAGACATTTCAGTTTGGCACAGCTCGCTTTTTGCATCACTCCACTGCAGACATTTTTCATCCAAAATAAAATCCCGGTGCCAAAGCTAAGCTCATTAAAGCATTGGTCCCTGCTCCGTCTCATTTGAAGAGAGTACTCAGATTCTGCAGTGACTGACGTTATCGCTGCTGCTCTGTTAGCTCCAGTCTCCTCTCCTCTCTCCTCTCCTCTCCTCTCTCCTCTCTCCTCTCTCCTCTCCTCTCTCCTCTCTCCTCTCTCCTCTCTCCTCTCTCCTCTCTCCTCTCCCATAAGTGTTTGTAATGTGTTGCACTCTGTAAGTGTCTGTGGTCAGTGTTTAATGCACTCTGTCGCAATGTGTGTCCGTGTGTGTGTGTGTGTGTGTGTGTGTGTGTGTGTGTGTGTGTGTGTGTGTGTGTGTGTGTGTGTGTGTGTGTGTGTGTGTGTGTGTGTGGTGTATCTGCTGTGTTGCTATGCATGTGTGCTTGCATGAGTCAGTGTGAAGCCTTTGTGTAAACTCTAAGTGAGCAACTCAATGAAGGTTAGGGTTAGATTTGAAGAAAGGTACATAGAGACCTTTTTATAGCACTCCACAAGCATGACATTTAGTTTTTATCTTGGGACAACATCAAGTACACAATTGTATTATCTTCTCCACATGATAATAATCTTGAGCTATTTTTAGAAGCATAAAAAGGGTAAGGTAGCTGCCACAAACATGTGCATATGTTAAAATGAAGTGTTCCCACTAAATAATGTGTGTGTGCAAGATGTAGATCTTGTTCACAGAAGATTAAAATGTAATACGCACAAGATACTTTTTGTGTCCATAGGAAATGGTTATTTTTAAAACAAGATAATTAATCATATGCAAAAGATATGGATCATGTTCATACAAGATTGCAGTGTTTCCCACAGATCTGAAATATACTTGGGGGGGTGGTGGTAGCGGGGTGGGGGGGGGGGGGGGGGGGGGTTGCATGGCGAGGTGACATGACGTGCCTTTGTGACGTGCAACAACATTAACATTAACCTTTCGGTTGGTCGCTTGTGAGCAGACCCTTCACGCGATGGCAGAGCGAACAGGTACAGCCAGGGCCGGACCGAGACACTAAGTCAGGCTGGAAATTATACACCCAGCCAGCCCACTACCAGTTTTATTTTGTGCCATTCTGCTGGATTTATTTGTCAATATTTACAGCGTTGCTGCCCGTAGTGATAGCCCTATAGTTTAAATCTACTAACCACAAATAAACATATGGACATGGGTTACTATTTTTAAAAAAATGTAAATGTATTTAGGAACCTATCCATGTGATTTTAAGTGGGGGTGGACCTCAAATCCTCTAGGGGGGTCCGGGGGCATGCTCCCCCGGTAAGATTTATTTATTTATGTTGGAGTTAAATGCATCAATCTGGTGCACTTTCAGGGGCAAATAAAGAGCCTAGATCTATGGGAACACCTATATGAAACAGAACTGTATACATTTCAATAATCATAACGTCATGGCCATAACCAATAACATACCATTTCCAATATAAAAAAACACTGAAACTTGTTTATTTATTTTTGGTTAATTTATAGTTGTGAGTGTGTCTGGGCTCCTGAACCAGCCTCACCTGTCTCCCTCCTCTCCCCCTGCTCCTCTTTGAGGCAGCAGCAAAGACTAGTTTTAGCTCTCAACCAGTTTTAAAAGTGTATCTTACCTTTTTTCACTTAGTTAACTTTTCTTTTTTTTAATTCATACATATTTGACTAATCACTACCCCCTCAAATGGAAATATGTGTTTACATAAATGGTGGTCCAAACCGTTTGAGACCCACTGAGAACTTGGACTAAGTTAACTAAACACTCAGAGAGTCCTTTACCTCACCTGAGCTGAGGTTATCCCGAGCTTGAATGACACGCAGAGACCAATCGAGGGCTCTGATGTATGATCTGTGTGACAGTGGCCATGTCGGCATGCCACATCATGTAGACAGCCAGTCACCCTGTGAGGCAGGTCACTTAACAGGCCAGGCCATCGGGAAACCCCCCGGTCCTCCTGATGGCCAGTCCGGGCCTGGGTACAGGAGGCGTAGAGCGAGGGATCATAGTCCACAAGTTAATCGACCACGAAATATACTTGGGCGGCCGTTAATATACCTGGGCGGCCCGCCCAAGTAAAGTCTATGTCTGGGAAACCCTGGATTGTATTCTACGTCCATAAAATATGGATTTCTCTTAACAAGTTTTCATTTATACGTAAAAGGTACAGACCTAACTGGCTCAAGATATGAATTTGTTGACGCAATATGATATTTTATGTGTAGTAAATATCGATAATTTTCAACAAGATAATAACTTTATTCACATAATTATGTCTAATTATAATCTTGCTCTCTAGAAAGATTATTTAGAACATGCATTTTCAAATGTGTATTTTGTTCATACAGGATAATGTTAAGTGTCCTGATTACTTTTGTGCCCAACATATTTATCCATTTGGCTCAAGAAGATAATGATTTACAGTCCATAACATACAGTATTTTATCTGGGACTTTGGGATCACTATACCTTTCTGTAGAAAATGTTTAAAAGGGAATCATCCGACGGTTTCCTCTCATCTTCCTCCTCATCTTCCTCCTCTCGCTCAGTCTCTCCTGACCTGTTTCTTTATGACACGCTCTCTTTCATTAACCTGGGCCTATTTTTCCCTCTTTCAGCCTCTCCTCTTCCTCTCTTCCCCTGACACCCACCCCCCCTCCCCCTCCCCTCTCTCTCCTCGGGTGGCCTGATGCTAATCTCAGATTATTTCCCACCAGATGATTAATCTATCATTACACAATCACAGCTTCTCCTTTGCTGCACCCTGACGTCACACCAATGCACACAACCCTGGAGCTATTTCAGTATTCGTGCATTAGCACGGGCACCCGCTCTCCTTTCTCTCTCCTTTCTCTCTCCTTTCTCTCTCTATTTCTCATCTCACTTTCCAGCCATTTCCTGGGAATATGCTCTTTTCTTCTCTATAACCAGTTTCAATAGCTAAGGGAAATGAAAGACAGTTAACATCATGTATCAATGAGGTTGATATGCTTTTTTGTAAAGTCTTATATTTAATTTCCAACCCAGTTTAGCTTAGTTCCAAGCTGACTTCACGCCACCTTTGACCTGTAACTGCCCAGTGGTAACAACTGCTGTGAACACAGGCAAAGGACCTTTAAAGGGCAACTCAGGTAGAAAAAAACAGTCTGTACTTAACATAGGCAACCAAAACAATGATGACAGAATCAGAAGAAACAGGAAAACTATAAATATCGGCTTGAATGTTAGACACAAAGGTACTGAAACAAGACAAGAAAACACTGCATTAAAACAAAAACAGAACCTAAGGAGCAAACCTCACTGTGTGGTAGCGTGCTAATCTGAGTTTCCCAGTTTGCCTTTTCCAATCCATTTATACTGAGTGTCCCATGGAGCCATGTGCTTCTTTTTGCTCTGATAACAGAAGTGATGACACACTACTCATCAGATTACCTTACAATTTGGATAAAGCCTAATGTTTTTGGTGAGCCATTGACATTTCCAATACTATTAGGCCATAAGTGTGCTGAAACAGATTTAGAAAGTCCTAATCTCACAGAAACGTTGTCTGAATGCAGCACATCCTGTTGAGTTGTACTTAAAGGGGACCTATCATGCAAAATGCACTTTTGTGCGTCTTTTATACATGAATATGTGTCCCCGGTGTTCCAGGGAACTCACCAAGTGTCAGAAAACACAACCCTCTCTATTTTCCTCCATACCCAAATCTCTAAAAAAGGGGCTGCAACGGATCTGATAAAAACTGATCCAGATTTGAACACTGTCCTGACGTCAGGACGGTGGCGCTACGGCTATTGGGCCAACTCCACCAATCAGGAGGAGACAGCCACGGCCATTGCCGTTCGAAAGCGCTGGAGACGCTGTAGTACATATGCCAGGCCTCTAGATGGTGCTGTTGCTCACAGAATCAACCCTTGCAAAAACAGAGCTAAAAAATGTCAAATTGAGCAAAATGAGGCATGGCTAAAATGCATGATCTGTTTGGTATTTAAAAAAAAAAAAGTATAAATATGCCTTATATAGGTATGGTCCTACACTATATTATTCAAATATAGCATGATAGGTCCACTTTAAGTTATGATAGAAACATAGATAAATTACATTTAGCTCCATTGCTGTTCAATATTTTCAAATGAACAAAATGTGCAATGTGAAAGGTGTTGCTGATAAACATGAACCGACAGAGAATTGCTTTTGTAACTTTCCAACATTTAGAAGTTAAAAAGCTAGATGTTTCACCCAGTAGTTGGTGGAAATAGCGTAAATATTTAAATTACAATTTACCAATTTGATTTAAAAAGTGTAGATTTCACTGTGTTTGTAACCTTCTTCTGCTGCCCCCAGTTAACGCTGCTTTAATGACATGCATCACTATCTGACAAAGATGTACATTTCACATTAAATCATCACAAATGTGTTCAACACACATTGTTGGGAGCGAGAGAACAATACCTCAGTATATACATCTAAAATGATGTTTAGTTGAATCCGAGTGTGACTCCCAAACAATGGCAGACTCAGAGCTGTGCTTCTCACATAAAGGGTGTAATTAATGTGCAAGCTGAGCAAACCACTTGCCTCTGTTTCCTGCTAAATTAAACACCATTACTCAGTCTCACAGCACACGCTCGCTTCAAAAGGCTGAACATGTCTTTTGTGTTCTTGTAACTCAAAGTAGGAATATAAATCACCTCCCCCCTCCAAAAACAAACTCTCATGTGAGATAAATATCGTGCAGTGCATTGACATTTTTCCGTTTCTTATTTTTACTCCTTACAATGCACTTTTTGGGGGAATCTTTCAGCCTGAGTGCCAGAAAACATTTCTGTCCACGTCCTGCTCCTCCTCCAGTGTGTTTGATCAGGTCCATCCTTCTCGATTACAGACTGTGTTCAACAAAATATGTGATTCACTGCTCTCTTTGTTCTCCTTCTCCCTTTTCATGATTTACAAAGGAAGAATGCCTCAAATTCATAACAGCGTAACTATTACCAGCATGCTAATATGCTCACAATGACAATGTTAACATGCTCAAATACGAACGAGGCTAGTGTAAATGTCATTTGTTTTGGAGGTATTTGATGATGAATCAAAGTATCGGCCACATTCAAACTTTGAGGTGATAGTGGTACTAGTAAAAGTCACACAAGTTATTACAAATCACCCTGAGGAGAACCAGATATCATGGCAATTCATCAAAAAGAGACATTTCTCTCCAAACCAAAATATCTCAACCAGCAGAAAGCAGCAGGGAGTCACGAATTATGGACTCCACAGAAAAAGGCTGCAGAGATTATGGATTTGAAATGGGACTTTCCAGCTGGATGCTCGTTTATCCCTCTGGATTGCCGGCAGGATAAACATCACAGCAAACCTACCTTCAAAGGGGAAATCCAATGCTGGAAAATAAACAGGCTGATTTTTGCCCTTTGATTTTCACTAACGCTAATAGGCGACCTTTATGCTCGAGTTAATGCCACAGCTGGGGTTACCTCAGGGCTACACACACTGTCACACACTTCCTGTTTGACTCGGGAATATTTCTTCATGTTTTTCCCATTAGAGTTTTGGTGAGAGATTAATAAAGATGGGTGGTTAGCCCACTGCAGGGCCTCTTTTGGGTACACTGTTCCTATCCATTCAGATGTATCTGTTTTGTATCATTAAGACACATATTTGTGGATTACTGTAATATTGGACTCTTCTTGAAGCTTATTCTAAGACCTGCATTTATAATACGTAATCGGAACCTGGGTAAATACTGACATTAGTGTTGAAAGCAAGTATGAAGTGTTTTTTTTTTTTATCATTGTGAGGTGTCAGTTTGATAACCCTAGTGACCCTTTGTCTCTTAGAAATCAAATTAGAATACTCAAAAACACGAAGTAAAGTGCAAACAGGTGGTATCATGGGAAATCTACATATTCACAAGTGGTCTTACATCCCTCTTAAGCCATTTCTCTCTCTTACCCTTTTCCATCTTCCGTCTATAATGACCAGAATTTAGTTTCTGACCATTTTCTTCCTATTCAGTCGAACACTCTCCAATTACAGGCAGCCCTGCCGAGGAATATAATGAGCAGAAAAATAGAGACTTAAGTGGTTTAAAGCATGAAGTCGCCGCGTCGTGCCTGCATTTGTGTGTTTGTGCCTGCTGTCAGAGGAGCTGTTGGTTATGTGCGTCCTTATAAAACAAGGTGTCTGTATATTTAGCATGTTGGTGGCTGTTTATGGTGTCTTAGGTGAATGGCCTGTTTCATAAGCGCTGTTTGTCTTTGTATGCAGTTGGATGTGTTTCACTCGGGAGAGATACATTAAGAGACTCTAATGCAGGGGTGTCAAACTCAAATACACAGTGGGCCAAAATTAAAAAATCGGTACTAGTCGAGGGCCGGACTGGTTCAATGAAACACTGGTTCAATGTTTATTGCAAAACGTATTGAAATGACTTATTAAACCTGGAACTAACAAAGCTTAAATGATTGCCTATAAAAACAACATTAAACATTAAATAATCAGTTGCATTCATTTCTTATGGCTCTATCTGCAGCTTTTCCGGAGTCATTTCTTATGAGTACATTTTTCCACAGGCCAACAACAGCTTCAAAAAACAATTTCCCTCAAAGAAAAAAACAAACATGCCCTGTTGTCGCAAGAAAAAAAGTGCAGAAGGAAACATCCATTGAAACTCAGTTTGATGCTAGTTCAAGCCAGATACTTGGCATCTCATCTTGGGTGCAAGTTCATCAATGTTTGGGCTCAGGCTCTGAGCTGAGGAAATCCTCAGGATGGAGTGAAGGTGTGCGTGCAATATACCGGCGGGCCAGATCTAATAGTAATTAGAAATGATCCTATGGGCCTGGGCCTGATTTGGCCCCCGGGCCTTGAGTTTGACACATGTGCTCTAATGTAAGAGCCCATGCAGTTCGACAAAATGGACGTGTATGTCTGACAGATGTTGCAGAGGTGCACAGCTGTCATTGGTTTTTATTCACCATCTGCTAAACAGCATCCAGAGCAGGAGAGGCCAATGAGAACGTAAAAGACCAAGGCTGGACTATCAAAGCTCTGACTGGGATTGATTTAAATCTTACTGCCGGGACAAATGACATGATTAATTGTAGAAAACCTTTTTATCTAATTAATTCTGTAGTGAAAAATGTGAGGAAACCTTTTTTGATCTACAGCACGTCATGCTTTCTGTCCGATTGCTCTCTGGAAGTTGAGTGCTCTCCGTTCTTTTCTATTCTTGACTCTGGAGCACTCTTCTGATCCTATCTGCTATTTTTTGCGTGGTATTACACTTTTTTACAAAGTTACCACCCACTTTACAACCGGCAGATGGCACCTCTCACCATTGTTGCTGAGCACTAATGTAGCACTTTGTTTTCCCTGCACAGCCGCAGACAAACAGCACGAGAAACAGCACAGTCACCAGTCCCAAAGGCCACGTCACCGCTGCACTGGTACGCAGCTCTGTGTCCGTCTGTCTGTCCCATCTTTACACTTTTAAAATGGAGAGTGTGTAGGAGTGTGTATGAAAGAACGTGAGGGGGAGAGAGGCGTGATTTGTTGCTATGACTTCATTTATTAATTCAAGGTTGGCAGCTTTTTGAGGAATTTGTTGAGAAATTGGGAAATGCACTTCTTCCCCTTCTTGCCAGGAGTTAAATGAAAACACTCTAATGTTTTTACGAGTGGGAGCCAGCGCCATGAGACTGTTAGCCAGCGCTTAAATGTAACTTACTACAATAAGGATAAGGTTTTTTTTATTTACTTGAATATTTCCCTTTTATGCAACTTTATATTTTAGCCTCACTACATCTCAGAGGGAAATACTGTATGTTGAATTGACTACATTTGTCTGACAGCTTTGTGAAGGCTACTTGCTGTATCAGTGTTGCAAACAGCACTTGTTTTATGAAGTAAAATAGATAGAAAAAAATATGTTTTGCTTGTTTTATATTCTTAATGAATCCATTTGTATGAAAAGAGACAATTCAAAGTGTGTGAGTGTGTGTGAGAGAGAATGATATCTAGCATTAGCACAGATCATTAGCATAGATGGTTACATCTAGGAACTCTTACAACCATCCTCCATCATTAACCCTTTCAAATCTCCCCATGTATTGCTCACATCTGACTCTCTATTAATCTTCCTCTTATGTCTCAAACTCCCATGAAACCTCCCCTCTCTATTGCCTCTTTCCCATGTTCTCTTTTCTCTCCATTCTTCTCCAGGAGCCTCAGACTACTGTTATCTATAATCCAATAGATGGGAACAAGGTACATCTTCCCTCACTCCATCTCTTTATTTCCTGTCCTCTTTTCATTTCTCATCCTCGTCTTCACTCCGTTTCTCTATCTGTGTGGGGTAAAGCTGTACGTAGATGAAGCTGGATTTGTGTATGTTGGCGTAATATATGTATCTGTGTGTTTCTTTATGCATGAGAGAGATGGAGAGAGTGTGAGAGGCTGGAGCTGTGGTTCCTGTGAGGTGGTTGTGTTACACTGCCCCTCTGTGTTCAGATAAATGGAGCTCAGTGGTTCCCGCTGCTGGCTGAGAAATCCATGTCTGTTAACAGATGAAACCCCCCCCGTCACGCAGCTGTGGAGAGTGTGTGTCACGGTGGCTAAACGTCATGTGCTTTGCAGTTGTGTGTGTCCGTCAGCAGTGTGCTACTGAGTCACACGTACAGCTGTATCTGTTGCTGTATTTTTGGCCAAACGTTGTGTTAAAGTTGAGTCGTGCTGTAGATTCGATGCCAGAAATTGTGTGAGTGAGTGTGTCTCTGCGAGTGTGTGTATGCTTTTAATGTGATTTTGCAATTAATATTTGTGTCTGTGCACTTTGCAGGGATCCTCTGACAGCAGCAGCACCACTGTTGAGGATGAGGATGTGAAAGGTGAGTTTCACACTCAGCTTACCTCCTATTGTCTTCGTTTCCCCCCTTACTTTGGTGTTCGCGGTCAAATTTGACCGGTCCTGTTTTAACTGCTATTACATTAACACAAAAACCTTTAATCATCACCAAATTTCATTTAACACCCTTTCAAACTGTAAATATTGTATCAGACTACTGGTGTACATGAAAAACTGCAGTAAATATACAAAGAACAGGCACTGAACATGTATTGCGTGTGCCAGGTGTGATCCATGTGGATCACACCTGGCACACGCAATACATGTTCAGTGCCCCGATGGGCACATAAGAGCGTGAAATGTGTCAAATTGTTCTGTGTGTGTGTGTGTGTGTGTGTGTGTGTGTGTGTGTGTGTGTGTGTGTGTGTGTGTGTGTGTGTGTGTGTGTGTGTGTGTGTGCCAGGTGTGATTCACATGGGGGGATTGGGCACATAAGGGAGGGGAACACATCTATAGTATATGTGTGTGTGTGTGTGTGTGTGTGTGTGTGTGTGTGTGTGTGTGTGTGTGTGTGTGTGTGTGTGTGTGTGTGTGTGTGTGTGTGTGTGTGTGTGTGTGTGTGTGTGTGTGTGTGTGTGTGTGTGTGTGTGTGTGTGTGTGTGTGTGTGTGTGTTTTATCTGACCCGGATGGTTACTAATTCCCTTTCTTTATGGACCGGGAACACCATGGGTGTTACAAAGTTGACTAAATCATCCAAAATGCAATGAACGTGGTGATCAGCAATTGTATATGTTCAAGTGTCTACTGTGAAGGATATCGTAAAGCCTTAATGCAATCGAATGTAAAACAAAAAAGTTATGATTGATGAAAGTAGTAAATCGGTCAGATTTGACCCGAAGACAACAGGAGGGTTAAAGCATCGGTTACTTTGCTTCAGATTATTAAAACAAGACTAGCTCATGACATATTATTATGATACATCTATCCTGCGGTATATACACTGTTTTACTACTGCAATTCTATTTTTAATGGTCTCCCTAAAAAATCTTTAATGAAATTGCAAACCTTTCAGAATACTGCGGCCAGGATTTTAACAAACACAAAAAAGAGATCACATTTCCCCTGTGCTGGCAATGGCATCACTGCACTATTTACAGGTGTCTTTCAGAATTGATTTTAAAGTGCTTTTAAAGATTTACAAAGCTATACATAACCTTGCCCCTCCATACATCAGTGACTGCCTTTCATTTTATAAACCTGCAAGGACACTCAGATCCTCCAATGCATTTCTTTTAGAAGCACAGAAAGTATTTTACAAGAAATCTGGGGAGGCTGCTTTCTGTTTTTAGGCTCCCAAACTGTGGACCAGCCTCCCCTTGGATCTTATCAAACTCCATTTGAATTGTTTTAAGTCAATGAAAGACCTATCTTTTTAATTTGGTCATTTTAGTGGGATCATTGTTGATGTTTTATCGTTCCACGGTTCTGTGAAATAACTATTTTTGTTTGATTATAACTTGTTTTTAATTATGTTCCTCGCTCTTTATTCTGTATCTTGTCTTACTCTGCAAAGCACTTTGGGCTGCATCTTGCATGAAAGGTGCTATATCAATACAGTTGTATTATTAATATTATTATTATTATTATTATTATTATTATTATTATTAATTGAACTCCACTTTTACCTGCTGCAACATTAAAGTGATCACATAGGTAATCACTTTTGTTCTTGTACTTAATCCCAATCATTTAGTATTCATACTCTGTGGTAATGCTACTTTTACCTACATTAATTCCATAAATGATGCCTTTAGAGAGTGTAACTGTACATTTCACATCAGTTTATTATTAACTTAAAAAGTGCAGATCTCTGCCATGTGTGTCTTTAAATAACCATTGCTGTAATGTTTTTTGAATGAATCCGGACCACAAGTGTCTCACTTTGATTTGCAAATATGGACAGGAATCTTTGTTAACACCTAAAGGAAACACGATTCAAAACTGTTGATGATCACCTGCGGCACCTTCTTGCAAGTTAAAAGGAGTGAGCCCTTAATAATGGAATAAAACAGTCAATTAGTAACCATGAGAGGTCCTTAAGCATACAGCCATAACTGTTTCTTTAATAGTTTTATTCTATCTCCATAATAAGTTGTCATCTTTTACAAAGACAGTCAATCTGAACCTTAAAGGTGTATGTAATTTATTTCAGAAACACTTTTTGTTATATTCCATGGAATGCTCTTAACATCCCGATAGCAATGAATATCTTAAGTGCTTTGACAATAAATACATTAAAAAAAAAGTCATCTGTGGAAGCCGTAGTACTGTAAAAAGCACGACCAATCATCTGAGCCGGCCCGGCTAAAATAACTGGATGGCCTACCTGCCTGTCAGCCTTCCATCTGTGCACAAACTTATCTCATGCCCTCATTGGTCATGTGCGCGTTCGTGTGTGTTGGAGGAGGGGCTCTGTAAGGAAGTCTGAAGGAAGAGGCAGATTTTTTCCGGCTGTGTATTTTCAAATTCTAGCGCACTCGAGCTGGTTTCTCCAAAATTACCTACCCCACCTTTAAGCCTTGAAAGCCCTCCAGATTGAACCTTTGACCCCTTGGTGGGTCTAGACCCCCTGGTGCAATGCACTTTAATCATGTGAAGGCAAAAACCTTTCCAAAATATAACTCAAAACCTTGACAAATAAAACACTAAATGATCTGTGCACTAATAAAGGAAGGTAAGTAAATATTGTGTTTGGGTGAAATTAACCTTTACGTTAAATATTACATTTATATTGTGATGTTGCTACTTTTACAGAGCCTTTTTTGTTCCATTGAAAGGGTAGAGTAGAGAAAATGCAAGTCAACTTTACTAGAATAAAATGGAACATTTATAAGAAAACACTTGGATATATTCTGATATCTCAGTGGTAAATGCACAAGAAAAATCTCACAAATGAATGACTTTAAATACAAAAAAATGTAAGGTTTTTTGGGGAATATTACACACTTAACCCGGCTCAGTATTTTTTAAATATAATTGTCCTAATGGGGTCTTGTATGGAGGCTCAAGATGAAATAAAGAACTCCAAACAGACAGAGAGACTGAGATACAGAGTGAGGGGAGGGAGTAAGAGGGAGAGAGGGAGAGATAGGGAGTCAATCAGAGCGAGCTAAGCCTTCTCTCAGTGGTGGATGTAAATGAGGGGAGAAGCAGGGCACAGTAAATCTCATCTAAAGCGCTGGGACAAGAATAGCGTGATGAGCTCAAGTAACTTCACATGCGAACAAGAGATGTGATGGGAGATGGATGGAGGTAGAGAGCGGCACAGCATCTAGACCGGGCAGGAAGTGACTTTTTAACATTTCTAATAAAAGGTGGATATGTAGGCGAGGATCATGGAGAGGGAAACAACTTTCTGCATGGAAGAAGTTTTTATATGTGCTGTAGCATGGTGGAGTTTTCACTGATGACTGATAAGACTCACAATGAATAACGTGGTATCAGGTGAGTTCATCCTCAGTGTGTTCGTTAATGTTTGTGAATGAGTTGCCTAATGAGCTGAGTTAAGTGCACTGTGGCTTTATTATCTGGTTGAATTGTCATGTGAAATAAAATCACTTTCTTTCTTCTCTGCAGCTCGCAAACAGGAGATCATAAAGATCACAGAGCAGCTTATTGAAGCTGTGAACAATGGAGACTTTGAGGCGTATGCGTGAGTCCACATCTAATTCTTTCTGGTTTCTCCACAGCTTGTAGGAAAAGTTTGATTTCATACTGTAAAAATAAAGTGGTCCGCCACAGAGAACCATTCATCTGATTGACATACAAAGGTGGTCTGTCTTTGCACTAACAGATAAAAGAGCAATTACAGTCATTGTTGTACCCTTTCACTCTCTCTTTGTCTACCTACCACATACTTAGGAATAATGCTTTAAGCAGATTGAGTGGGAGGTGTGGGGGGGGGGGGGGGCTGGACAAAGTGAGTCTGCAGTGATGGGAGACCTTTTAGACCAGGAGAAAGACAATAGATGTTGAATCATGCATTATGAAAGTAAAATATTCATGCTGTGATAATACTTAGTACTTTTTGAGACATGTAAGTTATATGTAAAGATACTAAAGCTACTTAGTTATTTGATATTAAGTCACATTTTTGATTTACTTATTACTTTGTTACTATTAAAGATGTGAATTGCTAGTAAAAACATGCACTTTGACTACTAAGTAAAAATGACAATACAGTGAGTAAATAGTAAGGAGATTGTTGGTCAAAAGTTGTCCAAATAATTACATATTTTGAGGTATTTAAATGATTATTTCCTAATACATTTATTTGACAGTTATTCCAAACTTAAAGCTAACAAATCAAAATGATGATTAAAACTTTTTAGGGACAAAATGTAAAGCGTTTAACGTTAAGAGTTAAGAGATACTAAGTCAAAATCAACTAATTCAATATGATTAATAAGTTAAGCTTTTATAATTTCATATCTGACTTTCCATTCCATTTCTTCTCCCATCACAATACCGCAAAATGGTACTATGATGTCATCAAAATGGGGCAAAGAACATTTCCTTCCTGTTCTGCTATTATATAATTGTGTACAATAATTGCTAAAATAATAGTTTGCATTATTATTGTTCACTAACCAGGAGTTGTACCAGCATAAGCATCATTCACAAGCATAATTGATAATTGATGATGACATTTAAAGGAGATTTTCTGGCCTTATCCGGCATGTTTTTTACAGGAAGATCTGCGACCCCGGTCTGACCTCATTCGAGCCGGAGGGGCTGGGTAATCTGGTGGAGGGGATGGACTTCCATAGATTTTACTTTGACAATCGTAAGACTACTAATTAAAATGATTCCAGCCATTAGAGACTGAGTTGTTGGTTAATTCAAATGTTCTAACATTTCCTCCGCCTCTCCCATCAGTCCTCTCCAAGAACAGCAAACCCATCCACACCACCATCCTCAACCCTCACGTGCACATGATCGGGGACGAGGCCGCTTGCATCGCCTACATCCGCCTGACCCAGTTTGTGGACGTACAGGGACATCCCCGCTCCAGCCAATCAGAGGAGACCAGAGTATGGCACCGCAGGGAGAGCCGGTGGCAGAACGTCCACTTCCACTGCTCAGGAGCCCCCGCTGCCCCGCTGCAGGGATGAGGTGCACAGTCAACACTCACACACACTTAGCTTAGCTTAGCATACAGTCTGAAAACAGGGGGAAACAGCTAGCCTTGCTCTGTCTAAAGTGTAACCAAATCAAAAAACACCCCTAAAACTTACTGATGAGCATGCTTCTTCCTTTTTTTGTTTATTTGTATAAATGGCATGTTGTGTTTCAATGGAGGTCATGTGCTGTGTTGACAATTTATTGGCAGGGTGCATTGGCTTTCTGGCTTTTATATACATTAGTAAAGATGGAAAATACTTAGTTGACAAAAACAAAAAAAAGAAACGGAAGGGAAGAAAGGCTGGGGGGGTATGCAACTAGGGGCTCTTCCCTATTTATTTAGTTAAACCTATAATAGACTTAAAGGTAGGGTAGGTAAGTTTGATAAACCGGCTCGAGATACACTTTTTGTTATATTCCATGGAATGCTCTTAACATCCCGATAGCAATGAATATCTTAAGTGCTTTGACAAAAAATCCATAAAAAATGTAATCTGTGGAAGCCGTAGTACTGTAAAAAGCACGACCAATCATTTTAGCCGGCCCGGCTAAAATAACTGGATGGCCTACCTGCCTGTCAGCCTTCCATCTATGCACAAACTTATCTCGTGCCCTCATTGGTCATGTGCGCGTTCGTGTGTGTTGGAGGAGGGGCTCTATAAGGAAGTGGCAGATTTTCTCCGGTTGTGTATTTTCAAATTCTAGTGATCTCGAGCCGGTTTCTCAAACTTACCTACCCTACCTTTAACCGTTAATCTTTTTTTTTAAATAAACCATACGCCTAAACATACTCTACATAATTGTGTTTGTGTACAGCTAAACAGAGTACATTTTGAATGTATGTGTTGTTGTGTAAGTTCAACTGTCAGCTAACAGGTTTTAGCTTCATGTTGTATTATGTCAGTGTTGTGTTTAAAGCTTGTTTCCAGTGCCCCCAAGTGGCCAACAACTCTCCCATGGCAGGTTTAAACAGCTAAATATAACTATTTTTCTCCCTTCTTTCCAGATAAAAGAGACTGATGATTAAGCCGTGAGGAACAGAGAAGATATAAATAGAAAATCCGAGAGAGAGGTTCTGCACACCCATCTCGCTGTTCTCTCTCCACAACCTCAACAACGGACAGTAACACCTATGCTACCATCAGCAAACCTACACTACAGCAGAGGGCATATCAGCCAAAAGAAAAAGGAGACTCTTTATAGCCTGCGTCATGTCTTCAGTTCCCTGCAGCTGCCCAACACACCTGGACAACATCTGTCCTCTGTGCTGCGAAGCCTCCAGCGGTGCACTCTCCTGCTGAAGATTTACCTTCTTATTTATTCTCAAACATAAATTATTGTCACTTAACTTCTAGTATTATTGTGGCTACAGTCTATTGTTGTGCTCTTTCAACTGTACAGTATATTCATTAGTCATTTTAAACCTTTTATTCTGGTATTTTCTTCTTTTTTTTATGACGAGCATGACTCTTACCTCTGTTCCCTGTGGCTGTTTTTCTGCACGACTAATGCTGCCTGTGTGAAATGAACAAACGGTACCGCATGTCTCACAGAGAGACACCAGTGGGTGTATTTAATTATCCGTTTTGTTTTGTTCTTCAATGGAGTTTTCTGTTTGTTATTATCCTGCTTTCCTCTGGTGTGTAGTTGACCCCAAACCGACGCCTCCGTTTGTTGACCGGACCCCTCTAAGCCGCTCTGTGAGACAGTGAAAAACATGCAGCATGCTAACATATTACTGTTGTTCTTAACTGATTCTCTATGTACTGAACATTGCAAGCTAACTACAGAAATTATGACTGATTGAAATTATAGTATCACGCTGTTTTTGTACATTTCCAGTTTCATCGTGGTGACTTAACTACAATTATGCTGTAGATGGTATTTAATTGCATGATATTCCAAGTTAATAACATTGGTAAGTTGGGTGTTATCGTGCATTTTGTTGATTTTTCTCTTTTTGGACTGAACTGCTAGCGAGATATAATCTATTGCCTCTATTTTGTGGGCTTTGTAAGTGCATAAACTATTTTTTGTGTTAATATAATAGTGTACTATATGAGTAAACTGGTGAAGATCATGACAGAATATGCCTTTAAAAGAAATGACTGGATCCAGTTTCAAAATGTCTTTTAACTTTATCAAAGACAAAAACACTGAGATCCCAAATGCTAACTCTTATTTTCTAGACCAGACTGAAGAAAATGCTACTAAACTAAAAGTTCCCATTAGGGCTAAATTAAGATGTATTTAGTTTTCTTAAATGAAGCTGTCTACGTAACTGCACTTCTAAATAAAATACCCCAAAATATTTTTGGAAAGCAAATAAATGCAATTATATCAGGATTGTTTTCTCAGGATTTTAGAAATCCTGACAAAAAAAACAATTGACGAGACAAAATGTAATATTTTTTATTCATTCAGTTATAATTTCCCAATAAAGAGGTTTGTGTCCAGTCAGAACCATGCATCTAAAAAGTGCTGTGTAATACAGGAAATATCTTATTCCGGTTTCCTGACAATACACCAATCTTTCCTCAAGAGGGCGCCAACGTCTAACTACATAGAACTTCTGCATATCTGAGTTCAAATGCAGGGTTTCAAATTCAAATGTGATCTGTTTGGTGAGAGTTAGACCTCTAAGTATAATAAGCAGAGTGTGAGAAAGACACAATGACAAACCAATACAGACAGTTGTCAGGACTCCAGTAACTTCATTTCAAACTAAATTTAAAGTTTATTACGATTGCTTTGGTTTATTTTCACTGTGTAAAACTAAGAAGGATGCAAATAAGAGTACAAAGGATTAAATATAACTAAATACCTAAGAAATACAATTTAAAAAAACAAATGAATACTTTGTAAGTGGAGACAGCATTGTGTGCAGGTTGATTTCTGTTTATTTTTATTATAATTTGTACCATAAGCATAAAGGTCTTCAAACCGGAACAGTTTCCTGTACTGTCTAATCTTATCAGTGCTTTAAAGGCCACTGGTCACTTAGATTACTTTCTTATTTAACCAACAATTCTTATTCCATTATTTAATATTTGTTTATCTCAAACACTATTTTAACTGTTTTAAAAGAGCCTTACACAATCAGGAGACATCTTAATGACAATAAATGAACTCCCCTGTATGTAAAACAAAGCTTTTCTTGTTTCTTTTAAAAATGTATTATACTTATACTGAAAATGATGACAATAGTGTGCATTCCAAGTCTAATCAATATTACAATGTGATCAGATGTAATCTGTGTGTGAATCAATAAAATGACAATGCAAAGAGTGCTCTGCTGAATGTGCTTTTATCTGTCTAGTGATTTTATTGGTCAATTACCGTCAATGACCATCTGCCTGTACTTTTACAGGGCACAGTTCAACATGTTGGAGTAGAAAGAGCTCAATATAAGGAATCAGTGGGTGTTGATCAAACATCTGATAAAGAATACAACTTTTTTTAAACTATTTCCCTTTTATGCCACTAAATGTTTATACTCTTATAATTTAAGATCTTCTATATAGATAAGCGAATAAATATGAAGGTGTGATAAATACTCTCTCGGTGCATTCAAATAGTAAAAGCAATGTTAACATTATCAGGATGGGAAGTTCATTAACTTGCCTTCACATAATCAGTGTCAGGAGGACAAAGGTTGACGTTTATTGCTCTGTTCCAGGCAGTCAGTGCCTTTAATGCAGTCATCTATTAAATGAAGCAATGAAGCAGAACATATTAATGTACCTGCTGTTAAAGTACAACCTGTAACAAATCATGTTGTAAATCAGCATTCAGGAAATCAGACATACTGTTATGACATTTACAGGGAAATGGTTGTTGAATGATCTGGCTAAAAAGTTGTTTGCTCTTATATAGGGTTAGGGGGGTTAGTAGTAGGAAGAGTACATAATTTAAAGCCTAAAGCATAATTTGGAGCTACTTTCACTTTCATATTTCTATTATCGTAACAGACTCAGGTAAAACATTTTCCTACAGCAATAAGATTTATTAATTCCTGAGCTCTTTAGATGTCTTCAAATGAATTTGTTTATAGCTCATACATCTGTTAACAATCCACATATTTATATATTTATACAATAGGCAGTATTTTATTCCAATATTATTTTATTGTACATTCTGTCCTATCTTCTATTTGACATGTACAGTTTACATACTCATGCATTATTTACTTGCACAATTGTCATTTACGCTATAGTTCTTGCACTATGTTATTTATTTTGTTATGTTAAGTCTTATTGTCTGCTGCACTGTTGGAAGAGGGACTAAATATTTTCATTGCCAAGATCTTCGCTGAAGAGATTTTGCACATCACAATAAAACATTTGAATTGAATACTTTTACTCTTCTATATTAAAGTGGACCTATCATGCTATATTTAAATTATATATTGTAGGGCCATACCTATATAAGGTATATTTATACGTTTCTGTTTTCAAAATACCAAACAGATCATGCATTTTAGCCATGCCTCTTTTCGCTCTATGTGCTGTTTGCTGTCTACGGGGCTGATTCTGTGAGACCACGCCCCCCTGCAGGAGAGGGTAGCCGTGCTCTGATCAAGTCAAGAGGGGGAGAAAAAAATATCTCCGTCCTCCGTGTTTTATTTATATATACAGTCTATGGTTTTATTATATTATTATAGGCCTATAGAGTCGTTATTCATTTGTTTTAAAGCTCAATAAATAACAAAGAAGACCTTTGACCGGCACTTTTCTAATTTTGTCCGGAAGATTTCAACTTTAACGGACATCTTGACCGGCGAAAGAAACTGAAACTGAAACTCTGCCGCACGGTCCCCTCATTCCTTGGAAGAGGCGGAGAGGTGGGTGTTTGTCATCTGCTGGTGGACTAACCGGAGATAATTACAGTGCTTGCCTCAACGGGAGGGATTGCATTGAATTAAAGCAGCGGGAGCAAACGCTTGCCTCAGGGAGGGAGAAAAAAAGCCACAGAGGAGAAAAAACAGAAGGGTAACCATGGTTACCATATGCGCGGGAAGTCTTCTTCGCTGCTTTTGTGGCAGACTACAGCGCCACTTACAGGCCTGGCATATGTACTACATCGTCTCCAGCGCTTTCGAGCAGCAATGGCCGGCCGTGGCCCAACCCCACATTCCCCTGATAAGTGGAGAGTTGGCCCAATAGCCGTAGCGCCACTTCTGTGACGTAATAGAAGTGTTCAAATCTGGATCAGTCTGCATCAGATCCGTTGCAGCCCCTTTTTTAGAGATTTGGGTATGGAGGAAAATAGAGAGGGTTGTGTTTTATGACACTTGGTTAGTTCCCTGGAACACCGGGGACACATATTCATGTATAAAAGACGTACAAAAGTGCATTTTGCATGATAGGTCCCCTTTAATTCAATGCAATCCCTCCCCGTCGAGGCAAGCACTGTAATTATCTCCGGTTAGACCACCAGCAGATGACAAACACCCACCTCTCCGCCTCTTCCAAGGAACGAGGGGACCGTGCGGCAGAGTTTCAGTTTCAGTTTCTTTCGCCGGTCAAGATGTCCGTTAAAGTTTAAATCTTCCGGACAAAATTAGAAAAGTGCCGGTCAAAGGTCTTCTTTGTTATTTATTGAGCTTTAAAACAAATGAATAACGACTCTATAGGCCTATAATAATATAATAAAACCATAGACTGTATATATAAATAAAATACGGAGGACGGAGATCTTTTTTTCTCCCCCTCTTGACTTGATCAGAGCACGGCTACCCTCTCCTGCAGGGGGGCGTGGTCTCACAGAATCAGCCCGTAGACAGCAAACAGCACATAGAGCGAAAAGAGGCATGGCTAAAATCATAAAATGCATGATCTGTTTGGTATTTTGAAAACAGAAACGTATAAATATACCTTATATAGGTATGGCCCTACAATATATCATTTAAATATAGCATGATAGGTCCACTTTAAAGCAGCGGGAGCAAACGCTTGCCTCGGGGAGGGAGAAAAAAAGCCACAGCGGAGAATAAACAGAAGGGTAACCATGGTTACCATATGCGCGGGAAGTCTTCTTCGCTGCTTTTGTGGCAGACTACAGCGCCACTTACAGGCCTGGCATATGTACTACAGCGTCTCCAGCGCTTTCGAGCAGCAATGGCCGGCTGTGGCCCAACCCCACATTCCCCTGATAGGTGGAGAGTTGGCCCAATAGCCGTAGCGCCACTTCTGTGACGTCATAGAAGTGTTCAAATCTGGATCAGTCTGTATCAGATCCGTTGCAGCCCCTTTTTTAGAGATTTGGGTATGGAGGAAAATAGAGAGGGTTGTGTTTTCTGACACTTGGTGAGTTCCCTGGAACACCGGGGACACATATTCATGTATAAAAGATGTACACAAGTGCATTTTGCATGATAGGTCCCCTTTAAGAAATATTGTACATGTTTACATCATCGAAGGAGAGTAACTAAGTATTTACTCCTGTGTTGTAATTGTAAGTACACATTTGAGGACAGTTCATACTTTTGCTGACGTCACGAACCCGCGTGACGCAGATCAGCACTAGAGTGATTAGACAGTGCCCGGGCGCGCGACTCAGCTCCTCAGCTCTCGCGCTGCAGTGAGTTCACACACGCCGCATCCGGCTCGCGCTCAGGATTTCAGGACAGTTTGCTCCTCATTCACCCGGGCAGAGCCACGCGAAAACCAGTGACAAAAGGTAACAAACTCGAGAAAAAATGTAACGATAGCGAAAGTTGAAGCTTTGCAGTCAACTTAGAAGAGAGAGACGTTACTTTAACGGACTGTGTGTCCTGCACGTGAGGCTACAGTGACTGAAATGCAGTTTGTTTGCCTCCAGCGTGGAGCTGTGGGTGAATAAGTGTGAATGAACATGTTTTACCGGACAAACAGCTGCTCAGATTGAAAACCCACTCGCATCTTGTCGAACAGACAAAAGAGCGATTAGAACGTTAACAAATAAGCCAAAAGTTGTCGTAGTTAACGGGTTAAAGCACATTTGAAACTAATGTACCAACACTTTTAATGGTTTGGCGTATTTGTACCACCATACCTCCATGTTTATGTTTATTGCTGTTCTGAGTTTGTATCTCCATTTTTATTCTAAGGCGTTTTGTATTAAAGAGTCAGCTAAATTAAATGCAATGTAAGTGCAATTCCCCCCAACGTAAAGCTAAGCCGTTTAATTTAACTGTTAAATGCAAGACCCCTTTGGTTTTGCTTGTTTGGGGGTGTTCTTTACCCAGATGTATTGGTTATGAGTGGGACGCTCCCCCATGGGTATAGGTGGTCTAGCTATATTTAGGATGTTCAGTACATGTACTGAGTTGTATCATCTGATCTACAACATATAACTTGGATGACGTTACAGCACATAGTAATTCAATATATGGTATAAGTTATCACTATATTTAACTAACCCACTATGGTTTTCTTTTTATACATATTTTCTGGACATTGTGTCTGAGATCTAAAATTGCCAACGACTGCCTCTCTGTAATAGTTGTGCAAATGACAATGACAATACAAAACCAAACTAAACTATTTTACAAAGGAGCCACATTTGTGCCCTGATATTTAGCTTCATGACAATAAATACAGTAATTAAATTTGACTTGATACATAAACTCTCTTGCTGCTTCAAAAACTGGCTCGAAACTGTGAATTAATCCACCACTAAACATAGTCCACAAAAAGGCCTATTTTCCTTATGTTTGCTAAAAACTACAAGCCAAGCTGTTTTAGAGATTTACTGAGACTTTTTCTCAAATGACAGTATTTATTTGTGATTTTATTTTTAAAATACTCATGTTTTCAGTAGGAACCAATAGGCTGCTACAGAAAGAGTAGGAAAGTCAAAAAGTATGCATTTATAGACTGCAAACAGTCCACACAATCAGTTGACAGAAACATAATCTTATCTTTTAAGATTTGCTAACTTGTTGCACATGATGTACAATGTTTCGGTTGCCCAATATTTACTTTTTCCCTCAACAGGATCCAGTGGACAGAAGAGAAAGAGCAGAAGAAGAGGAGAAGCCAGCAGAGGAGGAACAAGAAGGCAGCTGTTGAGGAGCCTGGAGGATCTATTTTGTTCGGGACAGTGCTGCTGTATCTTTCTTCAAGGAATAAGGAGGGATAGTAGCTGTGGTTGATCTGCAGCCATGCATCGCTTAAGGACTACAATGGCAAGGCTTCGGCCTTTAACGGCTGCACAGTCAGCCCAGAGCATATCGCAGCCCAGACTCTTGGCGATAGAAGGGGGTTTACGGACGTTTAAGCCTGCGAGGCGCCTGAACACATCTGTG